TAGTTCTTACTATTGGATTTCCCCTTCAATGTCCCGTTTGCCCGGGTTTGACCGTTTCCTGTTTAGAGGCTCAGGTCGCATGCCAAAACCGTGGGATCCAATAGGAGTTAAGGTGTATATGGTTTACTTTGTAAAAAAAATCCCCTTTCCTTATCGAGCCTCGCTAACATTGAGTACAGCCGTGACTTTCGGAATCCTAGCTCAAACTACGTTCAAGACCCCAAGCCTACACACGGCGTCGCATCCGACACTTCCGAGTCCCGAAGCGCCCCAAACCACATCGCGTGTGTTTTGTGGCCCTCCTTGAGGCTCCCTTGCTAGGTTACAGCGATGGAACAATCTGTCCACGTGTTGGCCATTAACTGGACAAAATCAGAGCCCATGAGAAAATGATCAGGTTTTTTATGACCCGGTTTTAAGGTTCAAGTTGCCACTGTTGTAGGCTTGTGTGACAGATGAAAACTTGTCCAAAAAACAAACAAGAACAGAACATAGCACAACGAAGATCACAAGTGGTACACTCGGACAGAATGTTCCCGGGTTGAGCGACATTTAAAATTATCGATATCCATACCAGGTCCATCTCCCCTTAACCCTACCTCCTGCTCTGATCCTCCTAGGCATAGTGTCTATAAGAGCCTTGCACATGCTAGCCCTAATGCTGTTCCATGCCTCGTGCACCTGCTCCCAAGTTTGCAGCATGCCTGTGGGGGGTTGCTCATGCTTGGCGAGCTGCTTGATGGGATTGGGGTCGGGGGAGGAATAGGGTCATTGTAGGACCACGGAAACTTGCTCTTCTAGCCACTCCTGAACGATCCTGCACTTGGGTTTGGGGTCGTATAGTGTACTGGAACGTCATGCCAGAGATGGTCAAATCATAGGAATCAAGAGTTTGAGCCACCTCGTCCTGCAATATGCTGTGATAGAGTTGGCCATCTGTGCGGCCATCAATATTGCACATGTAACTAAGCACATCAGACATTATACAGACTCAAACCATGTCTGGCCCGCCCCCATGCTTCACAGTCTACTTCACCTGATGCCCCTAGAGAGCAGCGCCTTCGCGAATCCATGCGTGAGTGTGGCTATCCAAGCAATATCGAGTGATCTGAGTCGTGTTCGACCAGATCACCCGCTTCCAGTCATCAGAGTCCAGTCTAGGTGGGCTCTGGCGAAATTCTGTATAGTCGCACATGTTGCGCGCTAATAATTGAGGCTTACACAATAGTTGTACAGCAACTAACCCAGTCACCGAGAGGGCATTTCGTACAGTGTGAGGGTGGACCTTAACAACGTGATTCGGTTCCAGCGGTTATGCAGCCTCAATGCTCATCAACGCGTCACCTAACATGATGGTGTGCACGAAAGTGCACATGTATCACGCTGTGAGCAGTCGCGGTCGACCTAAAGAGTGGACAGTTGGCCTAGCTACTAGACGACTACTGCTGTGACTAGCCTTCAGAGTGTTTTTTTGGTCGATTCTCTGCCCTATTCCTAGCGTTCGTGCGATCGGTCGAAAACTCAGACACTGGCGCCAAAGGCTCATGATCTGGTATCTCTGACGCGAAGCAAGCGGGCGCGTGGTTGCTGGAGGATCACGGGGTAAGGGGCATGCGCTAGCAAAAGTCTGAGCAGCTTTGCTAGCTCGTGCAAAGAATGCTCGACGGAAACAGATCTAGTCTTTACTCGGGTAGTATTTGTCCGCATCGACCGTCGAGCGTTAAAGCTTGTACTCGTTATTAGCGATTCGATATTGGCTAGACTTTGTTATATCTGGAGGTGCATCAATTGTTTTTGCATAATGTCCACAGGCTCCAGATTGTAAATAATTTATTTATACTTGTCAAAACATCATGAACTTGCTAAACATTGCCATTTTGGGGACAGATTGTTCCGTCGCTGTAGCTATGCTTATATTTTAGTCATGTGCTTCATTTGTACTCGACACTTTTTTAATCACGACCTCACTTCTGTATTACTCGACTCCTATCTGGAGATTATCATAACAGTTGGTATCAGAGCTACGTTCATGCCCATCTAGGTTTCCGTAGTGAAGTAGTTTTTAGAGGGACCTCGCACGTTAGGAGACTGGAGCAGTCCAGCAGTCGTGCAGGAACTTCTTCGTGTTCCGCCAACTTTATCGTGTGCGCTCTACGTCGCTAACGCTACTGGTGTCGTAGTGCTAGGGTAATTAATGGTCAATAGCCCTCCTCATCGTAGTATTAGAAACATGACTCCCGAGCAAAAAGCTGAGTTGTCAGAGGCGGCAGCAAGTGCGTCGGTACTGACGACTAAGGTTGGCGACAATTCGAGCGAGCGACGGGCAATCGTGAAGATCAAACCTGCCATGCCCCCGCCGTTCAACCCACTGGAGAAGCATACCATGCTGAGTGGGTGGCTGTTCACCATGGAACTGTTCATCAATGCCGCTATTGTCAACGACGATGAGATATGCGTCAAGTTGGCGGTGTCTTTATTACGAGGACTTGCATTAAGTTGGTGGCGACAGTACGTGACGGGGAGCAACGATTTGCTTCAGCTTCTACAGGATCAATATTTGGTGTGGCCGAGATCCTTACATGACAACAGTGGGGTGCACTTCCTCGCCGGCGCTTCGAGCATGTATCCGCATGCGAAAACGCTCGCGTGAAGCTGTTCGGGTGGCGTCAAAATCGACGATCTACACGAGGCTGAAAAAACGAGTCGATACATCATACAGGTCTAAAGCCGGAGGTCCAACGCAAAATTCGCATGCGCCCGCCCGACGACATCATAGCAAGAAATAAGGCCAAGGGGAGATGGACACGGTATTGTTATTGATAATTTCAACTGTGGCTCATCCTGGGAACATTCTGTCCGAGTGTACCTCTTCTGATCTTGGTTGTTCTATGTTCTATTATGGTGTGTTTTTGGACAACATGTTATTTGTCATACAAGCCGATAACAATAGTAACTAGAACCTTAAAACCAGAAACTAAAAAACCTGCTCAGTTTCTCATGGGCTCTGATTTTGTCCACTTCATGACCAACATGTGGACAGAAAGTTCCGTCGCTGTATTTTCTAGTAGGTCAGGCCCCCTACTGTGAGGCTTCGTCGCCCGAAGATCACCATTCCCACCGAGTCATAGTGCCGATCTATGTGATCGACCACACCCGGTTAAAGGGGAGTGAACCTGTTGACTGCCCTGTACTGGTGGAAGGGCGCGTTGGCAACACAAGATTAAAAACATTTGTGGATGGCGGAGCATCACACAGTCTGTTCGATGCGACAATAGCGAAGAATCTGCAGCTGCAAATAGAGAGGTGCATGCCCGAGATCGACGCGAGGTTGGTCGACGACACACCACTTGCAATCCGGGAGCGGGTGAAACACGTTCGCATTGATTGCGACAGCCAAGTCAGTTTTGCTATGAAGATGATGGCGACAACCTTGGACGGCTGCGATGTGCTCCTGGGGTGCGATTGGCTTCGCACGTACAATCCCATCATCGATTGGATGAATGGCGACATTCGTTTGAAGTGGGGCGGCGAGTGGCGACGATTGCCGAAGTGGAAACCACTCGACCCTCAGTCAACATTGGTGAAGAACGCGATTATCAAGCGTGTGATGGCACGGGTCGTGAATGTTTACGCCGTCCGATGGATCGCATCAACGGAGGTGGCTGAACAAACCGATATGGAGAAGCTGCGTGCAGCCTTACTTGGCAAAGATCATGCGGAAATTGGCGAAGATATTTCCCGACGAGCTACCGCCCGGCCTACCACCCGAACGACCACACGATTACAAAATTGAGCTGGAACCAGGAGCGCAATCGACCGTCCGATCGCAATGGAGGGTGAGTCAACTGGAACTGCTGGAGCTGTGTACGCAACTGGATTACCAGTTGGAGAAAAAAATCATTCGCCCATCTACGTCACCCTACGCCGCGCTGATCCTCTTCACCCCCAAAAAGGACGGAGGGCTTCACATGTGTACCGACTATCGCGCACTCAACAGCATCACCATCAAGTCGCGTTACTTGATTCCACGAGCCGACGATCTCATTGACCAGCTTCGCGGGGCCAGGATTTTTTCCAAGATCGATCTACGAGGAGGTTACCACAAGATTCGTGTCACCGAATCTGATATTCCAAATTCTGCTTTTCGAACCTGTTACGACACTTACGAATATACAGTGATGCCGTTTGGACTGAGGAACACACCCTCAACTTTTCAATTGATCATGAATGAAGTCTTCCGCTCGCTATTGGACAAGTGTGTCATCGTCTACCTGGACGACATCCTGGTATACAACACCTCTCGGGAACAACATTTGAAGGATCTAGAAGCAGTTTTTACCCTCTGCGATCAACACCGCCTCATCACCAAAGGCTCTAAGTGCGAGTTCTTAAAGGAGCAGCTGGAATTCTTGGGCCACGTCATCTCCACCGAAGACGTTAAGATTGACTTGAAAAGAAATGCTACTATTCGCAACTGGGAGGCGCTCACCAACGTCAAAGAGTTGCAGAGTTTTATGGGTTTCGTCAATTACGTGCGCCGTTTGATCCCTCAAATGGCGGAGTCAAGAGCCCCGCTAACCGACTTGCTCCAGAGAGGAGCTGCGCTTGACCAAGTGAAGACTTTACTTTCAGAACCAGTTATGCTACTCCTTTCACAATTCGCACTAGGCGCGTAAATCACGAGAACTCTCACCTTGCAAAGCCCGAACTTCAAGTGAGGTTAAAACCAGTTAGATGGTTTTCTATGGAGTGGTCAAAAGTGGTCTGGTGTGGTGTAAGTTCGAACTTGAGGTTGAAATTCACTTGCCTTTCTGCCCCTGGGCCCCCGCCACTTGCCCCACAATGAACCGCGCCCCCACGCCCCCCCCCCCACCACCCCTCTCCCAATGACCAACAGTTCCCCCAGCCGTTCCGCGCCCCACCACCCCGCACCCCTGCTAACCGCGCATCTTTCCCCTATGCACACCTCCCCCACCCCTTTCCCCTTCACAATACTAATTACCGACAGCCATTCGTTTTAGTCACATTGCTCCTTGGGCCAGCCTCACTTAGAAGCTGCTCTTACCAGCAGTCCCGTCGCGACGCGCCTCGCTCATCGTCGCGCTAGAGGCACCGCGAAGTCGCTGCTGGTCTTCGTGATTCCGTAGATTCGGCTTCATAAGCGCATAAGTGCACGAATCTCCCTTACCGGCTCCGTACCTGCTGCCGTCGCCGTTCGTGGCAGGACACCTACCGGCAGAAATCGACCGGCATCGACCGGCAGATTCACGGGCCCTCTAGCGCGCGTGCGATTAGGTGCGCAGCGTCGCGATTTGCAAAAAAAAACGATTTCCCATCAGTTTTGCGCAAGCCGCCACCACTGCTGTAGTAGAGGCACACGAGAATCAGCCATGGCTGCCTCGAGTCGCAGGACACAGGATCTGCTGATGGACGACAAGTGGGACCACTGCGTCGATCTCTCGCTTCGCCGCTTCGTCTACAGCTCCCTCGCTGGCGCCGCTACTGGGCTCGTACTATTCAGTAAGTGGTTGATAACCGTCTACTCTTCACTAAGTGTTGGTAGCGATTGCTGCGTCGACCTCTCGCTCCGCCGATTCGTCTAAAGCTCCCGCGCAGGCGCCGCCACTGCGCTCGTGCTCTTTAGTAAGCCAGTAGCGTAGCCGCTCCCCCCCCCACCGCGCCCCCACCGCGCCCCCACCGCGCCCCCACCGCGCCCCCCCCGCCCCGCCGCTTCTACCCCTTCCTGCTGCATCCCGCCATCTCCTCCACTCTTGAGCAAGTCTGGCAAGTTTGTGGCAAGTCTTACCTCTGTCTCACACGACACGTCGTGACGTTCCGTCCCAACGCGTCCCTCTCCCTTTCCCCGCCGCGACGTTCCGACGACGCACTCTCTTTCGCGGGTCGACCAGAAATTTCCACGAGTTGGTGGGCTGCTCTGGCCTTCAAGAGTCGTCTCAAAATTTCCTTTCTTCCTCCCACCGCCGCCCCCTGTCTCAATCCCGCCACCATTCAGGAGCAGTTGGTGGGCCGTTCTAGACTTTGGCACTGGTTGCGGTCGGCTGTGCCTACAACGACGGCTCTCCCTACCCCCGTTCCCCTTCCTTTCGCCCTCCCCGCACCGTTCAGGGAGCCCGACCAGTCGGTGGGCCGCTCTAGCCTTTGGCGCTGGCTGCGGCATCGGCTCTGCCTACACCGACTGCTCTCGCATTCTGGACGGCCACCTGCCGCAATTCACCGCCCCTGCCGCTGCTAGAGCTGCCCCGGTTGCCCCTGCCCCTGCTGCCCCTGCTGCTGCTGCTGCTGCTGCTGCTGCTGCTGCTTCGGCTGCCGCTGGTGCATCAGGGTCGTCGGATCAACTGCCCCAGGTAAGCAAGGGTCAAAGCTGCTTACGTCTCACATTTTGGATGGCCATCTGCTGCGGTTCACTAAAAATGCTGCTTGTACTGCTGCTGCCGCTGCTGCCGCTGCTGTGCCTGTTTCTTCTGCTGCTGGTACACTGGAATTCACTGATCAACTCCCCCAGGTAAACCTGCTTGTACTTTTGAGTCGACTCAAAAGTCTTCTTCTGCTGCTGGTACACTGGAATTCACTGATCAACTCCCCCAGGTAAACCTGCTTGTAAGCTGCTCACATCGGCTCTGCCTACACCATATCCGCCCAGCCAGATTCGCCCCTGCTGCTGCTGTTGTTCGAGCGGTTGCTGCTCCTGATTCGCTCTCCTGCTGCTGCTGCCACAGCTTTACAAGCTGCTGATTCGTCCACACCCCCCCTCCCCCCCTCCCCCCTCCCCTCTCCCCCCACGGCCCCGTACCCTCATCCTTTGTTTCTGTGTCCACTGCTGGCAGGATTGAGTTGTTCATCAGGCTGTGTTGCCCGGAGTGGAAAGCCCTCCAGCCGTGCACTGTGTATTGTCAACCAGAGGAGAATCCGTTTCCCAGATTCCATATTTGCTGTGCTTCTGAAAAGAAAAACCATATTGGAATATCCAACCCAACCTCTCTATGGATGAGCATGCCCAGCTTATGTAGGTGGTGGTACACTTCTCCCACAGGAATCCGTATTGTTACAATGTTCGAAGAGACTATCGGTAGCTTTAGTAGTCTCCCCAACCAGACCCTGAAAGGTTTTGGTTGTCACTTGGTTGGACCTCGCTTTTAGAGTTTTTGGTTCCTTCCTACCTAAGCATAAATATATCATGCCCAAATTCCTAGTTTTTATGCTTCCCGTCCCAGACTCCAGGCGGTGCAAGTACCGGTAGAACTATTGAGCTATGACTAGGACAACAACAACCAATACCATTTGCTGCGAGTAGCGATGAGTCCATGACTAGGAGGACACCTCTCGGACAGGACACCCCATTGGGCTACGAGTCCATGACTAGGAGGACACCTCTCGGTTCTTGAGAGAAGGCACACTGCAGAAGTGGCAAAGTCAGCGGTGCCGTATCCCACTAGAGGAGCATCCTCGTCGTCCAGCTCCCCCTCTGCGGCAGCTGGCACCAGCGACACGGACGAGAGCCGATCCCCTGCAGCGATGCGCATGAGGCAAACTCAGAGCCTTTTCATCACCGTAGCTTTCACGCTCTGCGCTCCTACCACCACCTCCTCCTCCTCGCTCTCCTCGTCACTCGCCCCTCCCTCCGGCACCACTAGAGGAGCATCTTCATCATCCAGCCCCCCTTCCGCCGCACGCGGCACGAGCGACACGGACGTGAGGCTGTCCCCAGGGGCGATGCGCATGAGGCGGCAGCCGCGGGAGGTGCGCGAGTGGACAGGGATGTCCCTCACCCTCAAACGGTTGATGATGCCCGCATCGCTGCCCACTAGCAACTCCCCGCACTCAATAGTAGGTACCTCGGTAGCTTCAAGAGCTGGGGTGGGGGATAGGGCCAGATGGATAGGGATGGGGAGAGGGAGGTGCGTGAGCGGCTCGGACTGTCATTGACTCTCAAACGGTTGATGATGCCCGGGTCACTACCCACTAGCAACTCCCCGTACTCCGTAGTAGGTACCTCGGCATTGGTTTCAGCGTCTGCGGTCTGGTGAGGGGGGGAGGGGGGAGTAGCAAAACGGAGAATGGATATGAAGGGAATGCCACGAGCAGCTCGGCACAGTCAATACATAATGATTATGGTAGTGGCTTCGGCGACTGTGGGAAGAAATATGGATTAGGCGTCAGTGGCTGTGGGGCATCTTCCCTTGTTCGTTCTCACACTCATTATAAGCCATCATGCCTGTCTACCAGCTCTTCCTGACCCGCACTCTCCCGCATTCGCATAAAGGGAATGGGTATGCACTCTCCCGGCTTTCCCACTTCCCATCTCCCGTCTCTTCTCCTCTCTCATCTCTCCTCTGCTCTTATCGGCTCCTCCTCTCCCTTCCCCTCTCCTCTCCTCTGCTCTCCCTTCCCCTCTCCTCTCCTCTCCTCTCCTCTCCCTTCCCCTCCCCTCCCCCCCCCTCCTCTCCTCTCCTCTCCTCTTCCTTCCCCTCTCCTCTCCTCTCCTCTCCTCTCCTCTCCTCTCCTCTCGCTTTCCCTCTCCTCTCCTCCCCTCTCCTCCCCTCTCCTCGGCTCTTATCGCCGCCTCCTCTCCCTTCTCCTCTCCCCTCCTCTCCTCCCCAATTCTTCCCATACACGCATTATTCTATCATAAATTATCCTAACCTCCCACTCCCCCGTCTCACCTTCGCTGTCCGCGCTGCTCTCCCCCACCAGGCGAAGCGCCACCAGGGCATCCCCCTCTGTCAACTGCAAGGGATGGATCAAATGCACAATGGGAGGGAGGGCGCACGGGGTGCATGTGATGATGCAAGGTCTCTCACAGGCATCCTTTGAGGCGCCTAAAAAATAGACCCATCACGCATGGTTCTTTCACAGGCATCCTTTGAGGCGCCTCAAAAATAGACTCCTCACGCACGGTTCTTTCACAGGCATCCTTTGAGGCGCCCCAAAAATAGACTCCTCACGCATGGTACTTTCACACGCAACCTTTGCGGCGCCTCAAAAATAGACTCCTCACGCATGGTTCTTTCACAGGCATCCTTTGAGGCGCCTCAAAAATAGACTCCTCACGCATGGTTCCTTTGTTGGAGATGGGCTGCAATTCGGTTGGCACAACTTTGTGTGCGAGTAATTTGTTGGTTTTAGGGTTAGGCATATTTGTTAGGTTGGGTGTAGCCTTGTTTTCATCCCCAACCTATCCCAATCCAATCCATCCTGGATCCCCAAGATTTGGGAGGATTCCCTTGGGATTCCCTCCGATTCTCCTTTATCCCTTCCCATCCTCTCCAATGCTCGTTACTTAGGGATGTATGCTCTTGCTCTTGCTCTTGCACTTAAGTTCTCAGTTTCGGCCATGGTATCAGAGCTCCGTTCCCGCCCATGCGGCTCATGATCCTCTCGCTCCGCCGGAGCCTCACTTGTGCGCTCTAGTTTGCACAACCTCTCTCAGTGCTAAGTCGTCACGCTCCTAAGCACATTCTGTTTTCCCTCCTCAGATCTAGCGCTTGCGGCTCCCGCCGGATTTCTGCCTGTCGCTCAGCTCTTTGCGCTTCACTTCGGGCTGAGCCCGTCGGCCCGCATCTGCTCATCGCACCTGATCCGGCTGAGCCTGTCGCCCCGCATCTGCTCATCGCACCTGTTCAGGCTGTCGCCCGTCGCCCCGCATCTGCTCATCGAAGCTGGACGGGCTGCTGCCCGTCGCCCTTGCAACAGCGGGGGGTGCAGCAACGAAGCGGAAAGGGGGCAGCGGCGAAGCGGACAAGGGGGGGGGGGGGGGGGGGGGGGGTCGCGGAGTAGCGGGATCGCAGCAGCATATCAACATTTCATATCGATTTTCCGGCGATCGGATTTCCCTCTAAATCCGTCATTCTCGCTCTCCGAGTGTTGAAAATCCGCAAAGGAAAATTTCGTTTTTCGTGAAGTGCCTATCGGCGACTTAAGAGCTTCGTTACGCGCGAGGGTCTTTGCAGCATCATGGCGTACCCTTCCGCGTCTCTCTCGAACCCAATCACTCGCGTCTCGACCCAAATGGCTCAAGCCCTAACTTCAAGGAGTGGAGCTATGAGGTTGATAAGCATCTACTAAGATAGAGGGGATTTACCTCAAGGATGTCCTCCTCAATCGCGGCAAAGGAAAGATGCCGGCCCTTCCCAAGAAGCTCTCGGCCACGGCCACTGAGGAAGAGACCAAGGCACATGAGGAATCCATGTCTAAGTATGAGGAATCATACAGCGTGTGGGAGCAAGCCGACGCCGCCATCATCGGCGTCTTTTTTGGCACAACCCCTTCCGAGCTCGTCAAAACTTACCATAACTACCCTTCTGCGCATGCCATTTGGGAGTATCCCAATGATCGCTTCCTCAACAAAACCGCTGTGGGGGTGGCAATCCTCATTCCCCACATGTTTCAAGTGTGCCTGGACGAGTGCCCCGCATATTTATTCATCAGGAGCTAAAAGCAACTCGGCATTGTCTTCCCAGAGCAAGCCCCTGCAGCAGCTTAGCTTGTTGGGCTGTCACTCGCCCCATGCTTCTCCATCTCCCACCAGCAGACCTAACCTTTGCCAAGGTCCCTTCCACGCTTCTCTCTGCTGAAAAGGACAACACTGCACAAGCTCGAGCAAATGCGCCCCGTGCTCCTGTCCCAGCTCCAGCATCCCGCCCTAATGCACCACCCACTCGTAACCGCTACCCACCTTGTCCTTACGTCATCAAGATGCGACCGCGTACGGGTCAGGTGTGCGGCGGCACCAATCACCCTCTCGCCACCTTCTTCAAGAGAAAGGACGAAGAGTGGTTTGCCAAGAATGGGATCAACTCCAAGCCGCCCAACTGGCTTCGCATGCACCAGCTCAACCATGTTGAGGCACAAGATAGTCAGGACTCAGCCGCTGATGCCCATAGTCCTGAAGTTCGTCTCAACCTAGTGTTCCTTAGCCTTCCCATGATCAATGAAACTAGTTCCCAGTACTCGACGTCTGCACAAACACCATCTCAACCACTTGAATTAGTCCTGGACAGTGGCGCAACCCACACAATTCTCCAAAACAAAGAGTTGATCAAACCATACCAAACACCCATTCCTCTCCTGGGCGGTGACTCCAGCTTCACAACTGTCGCCCATGGTTCTTCCACTCTTCCATGCCCATCCTTCCCATCAGGCTCAGTCACTGGCATATGCGTGCCCACTCTTCGACACAATCTACTTGCACAGCATGAGATTCAGCGAGCACGGGTAACCACCATCTTCCCTGCTCACTCTAACCACTCTGATCTCCTTGACCCCACCAACAATACCCTCCTTGCACACTTCACAGTGACGGCCAACAACCTCTACACACTCAAAGTACCTCCATCTCCCACTGAGGCGCACTCTACCTCCACCACCCCATCGTGCTCCTGCTGTCAGCTCACTGACCCAATCATTCTTTACCACCATTGTCTGGGGCATCCCAACTTCCGCATGCTTTCCGAGCTTGCGTCCAAGAAGTTGCTTCTTCACCTGCTCGAGACACTTCCTCCACCCTCCACTTCTCCCACTCATCCATGCTTGGACTGTGCGCAAAGTAAACTGCGCCAGCTGCCTCACCCTTCCTCGCCCTCTGCAGCAGCCGCCCCGCTTGACCTCGTCCACATGGACGTTTGGGGCTCGGCTCCAGTACGCTCACGTGGCGGGCACTCTTACTTCCTAGTGCTCGTTTACGATCACTCCCGTTATGCGTCCGTCCACTTACTCTCCTCAAAAGCAGCTGTTCTGGATGTCGTCATCGCATGGGTTTGACAAGCCTCTCCACCTCCTCCCTCTGTCGCTGACCCTGCGGCCCCCACACGCTCGCCTCCTCCATCTCCTTCCACTCTCTCTCACCGCCCTTCCCCCACCGGCTCCGCTGCCTCTTCACCTCCGCCCGCACCTGCACCTCCGCCCGCACCTGCACCTCCCCATGCACCCGCTCCTGCCGCTGCCCCCCCACCTCCCACTCCTTCTGCGCCCCCCCCCGCGCCGGCACCTCCATCTCCACCTTCACCTCCATCTCCGCTTCTGCCTCCAACCTCCACCTTTTCAAATGACCATGAGCCAGATTTTCAGTTCGCTAGTAGATAAGTGTGTTATAGTCTACCTAGGTGATATCATAATTTACAGCGAGACTCGGGAGCAACACCTAAAGGATCTCGAAGCAATTTTCACGCTACTGCAAGATCATCGGTTGCTCACGAAGGGTCTAGGTGCGAGTTCTTAAAAGATATGTTAGAATTTTTAGGCCACGCTATCTCCACTAAGGGTGTCGAAGTAGACCGGCATAAGATTGAGACTGTGCAAGCCTGGCTACCCGCCTATGAATCCGCAAGAGCTGCAAAGTTTTGTAGAATTCGTAAATTATGTTCAGAGATTCATCCCGAATATGGCGGGGGTAACTGCACCGTGGACCGACCTGTTGCGAAAAGGGACTGAGTATAGATGGGGGGAGAAAGAGCAAGCTGCATTCTTCGCACTCAAAACTTTTCTGTGCTCAGCCCCTGTCCTTCGCATCGTCGATCCTCACCGTCCATTCGAAGTCATCACTGATGCCAGCAACATTGCCATCGAAGCAGTACTGTTACAGGACTTTTGCGAAGGTCTGCAGCCAATTGCGTACGATTTATGCATGTTACACCCGCATGAGCGAAACTATCCGATACACGACAAGGAAATGCTCGCAATTGTGCATGCTTTCAGCGGTGCTACCTGACAGGTGCGGACATGAGAGTACGGACAGACCATCGCAGCCTACGGTACATTCGTGCACAACCACTGCTCAACCAGTGACAGTTTCGGTGGTTGGATTTTATGGAATCCAATTTCCACTATTCTGTCACCTAAAAAAAAATGGCATCAAACATTGCAGACCCCCTTTCTCGCCCATCCACCCATCTCAACTCTCTCATTCTCGCCCAAACATCCCCGCTACTTACCGGTCTATTTACCCACGGGTACCAGACGGACAGATGCTTTACATCGGGTGCGTACGAATAGCTTGCATCGGTTAAGGGAGTCTATTATGTAAAGACGGGGACTGGCTGCATCTGGGAACTAGAGTTAGTCTATTACGGGAGCTATTATTGCACGAAGCCCACGACAGCTGATTCGCGCCACCTGCGATGACGTGGCCGACTGGGAGAAGCAACTGCCCCTGATTGATTTCGCGTATAACAACGCCCCGTCAACCACTTCCTGACAGTCACTGCTCTACCTAAATCACGGACAAAACCCTACAGTACCCATCACGTCAAATGTCGACAATCCCGTACCCCGAGCCCAACAGTTCGCTGAAATTTTACTGAACGCCCGAGAGCGAGCAGCAAAAGCTATTAAGCGCGCGAACGTTGTTTCTAAGCGTAACGCTGATCTACAACGACGAGCTGTAACTTACCAGGCTAGAGACTTAGTACTGCTCGACACTTAGAACCTTCGACTGCCCATCGTCCCAAAACTTCGTCCTCACTACTGCGGACCATTTACAATCAGCCACATAATATCTTCCATTACAGCCCATCTACTGCTACCTGCCACTTGGAACGTCAGACCATCATTTTACGTGCGTCTATTATGACCATACTTTGCCAGCATCAGTAAAATACCACATCATCGGTGTGAGAGTACGACCCTGTTACACTATTTTCCCCTTTCCATATTTCCTTTCTATTTCATTCCTCTTTTTATCCGGATTCATTTGATCTTTACCCCATCTCATTTGGTTTCCTATTCCTCCTTTTCCATTATCCTTTGGTTTATCCTGTTATTATAATTATATCACCGACCAGGCTCGGGATGTACTGGCGCGCTATATCTAGCGTAATCCTGCCGTAATCCCTTAAAGCCAATAGCCTCGCGTGGCTATACGCATGGTGATTCTATTTCTAGAAGGGTCTATTCCCTTTGGATAGGATAAACCTGGTTACCTGATGTATTCTGGAAGTATAAAAGCACCTTGTACTGATTGATAGTGCAACATTGAGCAAACCTTTCCTCGGGACATTCGATCCTGTGACAATCGGGCCAACCCGGACATCCAAACCTACTGTCGAACCTGCGAAGATTCTCAGCCATCGGATCCAGGACCCTCGAGGGGCTCGCCTGATCGAGTTTCTGATATCCCTGAAGGACTGGATGACCTTCGAAAATAGTTGGGTGCCCCTGGCACAGATCAAGAACTTGTGCCACCTATCGTCACCGCCGGCGGCGGCTACAGATGATCTGTGCCTATAGTTGTGACTGGTTCCCCTGTCACCTATCGTCGCCGCCGCTAAGGACGCTCTCATGTCGACGTTCCACCTCCTCCCCTGCCTCCTCCCTCCTCTCCTGTCCCTGTTGCTCACCGCAACCACTCTCATGGTCCCACTCCGCCTCTCGCCCTCTCTGTTCGCATCTCCCTCAATCTGCCTCCTCCTGCCAGGGGTGCATCCATGCCTGACCTCTTGGAGGATAGGCATGAAGAGCTGATTGAGATCAATGCTGCCATCCGTCAGCTCTGCTATCCCTTCCCCGAACTTGCCGACGCTCCAACTCTCAACTTCTCCGAAAATCCATCCATCCCGACCCCGAACTTGTACGATGAAGCCATCTCTGGACCACACTCCCCTCAGTGGCTCGCAACCATGATCGCGGAGTGTGAAGCATTCATTCGTAACAACTCTTTCACGAACGTCTCTCCCCTGCGATGAGTCAACACCGTCCGTGGCAAATGGGTTTTTCGCGTCAAGCAACTGCCTGGCGAACTCACAGTCTTCAAGGCACGATACTGTGCAAAAGGCTTCACGCAGAAAAATGGTATGGACTTCTTCGACACGTCCTCTCCGATGGCCAAACTCCCCACACTTCGGACCCTGCTCGACATTGCTGCTCGATGCAACTATGACGTTCACTCCATGGACGTTTCTGCTGCATTTCTCCAAGGGGATCACTTCGAGGACATCTACATGGAACGTCCTCAAGGATTTTCCTTGCCCTTTCTACCCAGCACGGTCTTGAAGCTAAATCGACCCGTCTACGGGTTGAAGCAGGCTCCTCGGGAATGGCACAAGAAGTTGAAGGCAACCCTCGAGTCTCTTCATTCGCAAGAACGAGAACCCGTTCTTCATTCTCTTCCACGTCCATGATATGATTCTCGTCTCCAAGGACTCCAATCAGCTGGCAGCTGTCAAGCAAGCTCTTGGGACGCTCTCGCCATGAAGGGTCTCGGCGAACTCAAGAACTACCTTGGGATGGAAATCTCACGGGATCGCGAAGCTCGAATCATCACTCTCTCACCAGAGTTCTATGTGAACAACGTCCTCAAGCGTTTTGCCATGGACAACGCCAAGCCAGTGGCAACACCCCTTTCCCTACAGCATGATCTGACCGCTCCATCAGTTCCATCACCTGAGCCTTGCGATGAGGCATATCCCGAGCTCGTCGGATCACTCATGTATGCGATGATGTGCACAAGGCCCGACCTCGCCTACCCCATCAGTGTGCTCTCGCATTACGTTGCTGCCGGTCGATACACCAATCGCCACAGGTCGGCTGCTAAGCGCGTCCTTCGCTACCTCCAAGCCACCAAGGACTCTCGATGGCACGACCTCTCCACACCTCAAGGGATACAGCGACTCCTCATGGGCTGATGATCAAGCTGACCGCCGCGCTTCCAAAGGCTATTGCTTCACCCTTGGCAGTGGGGTCATCAGCTGGCGATCCACACGCTCATCATCTGTCTCATTGTCATCCTGCGAAGCTGAGCTACATGCAGGCACCATGGCAGCCCAAGAAGCTCGATGACATACCTACCTCATGGCTGGGCTCGGGTATTACTCGGTGGTGTGACAATGAGAGCACCATACACCTTACCAAAGACCATGTCTTCCACCAACGGACCAAGCATATCGAACTTAGACACTACTTCATGCGCGAGCTCGCCCAGCGAGGGCAGTTCTGCGTCAAGCACATCTCCTCTGATTGCAACCTCGCCGACTTGTTTACCAAGGCTGTTGGACGACGTGATCACTATCGTCTCCTCCGTACCATGGGGCTTGGCGTCCCTACAGCTTCCGACGTTGCAGCAGAGGGGGTGTGTTGGAGATAGGCTGCAATTCGGTTGGCACAACTTTGTGTGCTAGTAATTTGTTGGTTTTAGGGTTAGACATATATGTTAGATTGGGTGTAGCCTTGCTTTCATCCCCAACCTATCCCAACCCAATCCATCCCAAATCCCCACGATTTGGGAGGGTTCCTTTGGGATTCCCTCCGATTTTCCCTCATCCCTTCCCATCCTCTCCGATGCTCAGCACCTAAGGATGTATGCTCTTGCTCATTCCATGAATCAAGTTCTCAGTTTCTAACATCGTTCACAGGCATCCTTTGAGGCGCCTAAAAAATAGACTCCTCGCGCATGGTTCTTTCACAGGCATCCTTTTGAGGCGCCTCAAAAATAGACTCCTCGCGCATGGTTCTTTCACAGGCATCCTTTGAGGCGCCTCAAAAGTAGACTCCTCACGCATGGTTCTTTTCGCAGGCATCCTTTGGGGCGCCTCGAAAATAGACCCCCCACGCATGGTTCTTTCACAGGCATCCTTTGAGGTGCCTAAAAAATAGACCCCTCATACATGGTTCTTTCACAGGCATCCTTTGAGGCGCCTAAAAAATAGACTCCTCATGAATGGTCCTTTCACAGGCATCCTTTGAGGCGCCTAAAAAATAGACTCCTCACGCATGGTTCTTTCACAGGCATCCTTTGTGGCCCTTCAAAAATAGACTCCTCACGCATGGTTCTTTCATAGGCATCCATTGAGGCGCCTCAAAAATAGACTCCTCACGCATGGTTCTTTCACAGGCATTCTTTGAGGCGGCTAAAAAATATACCCGTCGCGCATGTTTCTTTTACAGGCATCCTTTGAGGCGCCTAAAAAATAGACTCCTCACGCATGGTTCTTTCGCAGGCACCCTTTGAGGCGCCTCAAAAATAGACTCCTCACGCATGGTTCTTTCACAAGCATCCTTTGAGGCACCTCAAAAATAGACCCCTCACGCATGGTTGTTTCATATGCATCCTTTGAATTCGAGACACACCTTCGACCCCCGTGAGGAGTCCACTTACTCAACCGTCTTCCTAACTGCGCTCACTGGAATAATGTCCGGAGGCATTCTTTGAATTCCAGTCAAAATTTTCGACCCCCACACACATGCTTGAAGCCCATATGGACACCTTGCCCCAATATGACCTTGCCCCCATGTAGTCACCTTGTCCTCATATGGTCACCTTGCCCTCATACAGTCACCTTGACCTTATTAAACACTCACCTTGCTCCCCTCACTGCCCCTTCTCGTACCTTGATGCCCTTCACCCCCACCCCTCCCCTCTTCTGGTTGGCAAACAAGGTCGTTGGCACGCGCTTGCCCAGCCCATTGCGAGTGGCCATCACCACCCACGGCCCGCCGTCCTTGGACTCCCTGCGAGTACGAGAGGTACAGCATAGAAGACACGGCAGGGCAGCAGAGCAGGGGTTTGCAACAGGGGGGGGGATGTTGGACTGCGCTTGACTGTTCCATATGCGATTGGGGCCAGCACCACCCATGGGCCCGGTGTCCGTTGACATGAGGGTGTCCTTTGACTCCCTGAGAGTCACAAGGAGTCCGTGTCTTGGTGCAGGGAAGGGAAGGCAGGGGTCCAGTCCAAAGAGCGTGAGGCGTCCATCGCGTGTCCCCATCAATCAGACTTTTGAGTCCATCGCGTCCCTCAAAAGTCGGCGTCCATGGCGTGTCCCCATCAATCAGACTTTTGAGTCCATCACGTCCCTCAAAAGTCGGCGTCCATGGCATGTCCCCATCCATCACCACCCGCGGCCTGCTGTCCTTTGATTCCCTGCTAGGAAAGGACTTTCTGGAGGGATTTTCTTAAGCATGCCGAAGGGATTTTCTGGAGTGCCATGACCCCAATTAATTATTTACCCAGCCCATCGCGCGTGGCTGGGTGGGTCCATGCATCACCACCACCCACAGCCCGCTCAGATTCTGCTTTTGAGTCGACTCAAAAGCAGACCATCGCGCGTGGCTGGGTACATGCATCGCCACCCACTGCCCGCCCAGATTCCAAGCAAGTCAAACAACTCATAAGAGCAGGATAGGGAAGGGGAAAACGAACGGAAGCAACATAGTTAAGCAATTAAGGGAAGACAGCAAGGAAAGCGAATGAGCAAGCAAGCAAGGGCAGCGAATAGACCACACCAGCTACGCACGGAACATAATCTGGCCTAGCGAACTGCAGGGTGTTTTTGCGAATTCCGCAAGGGAACATAATCTGCAACACACCAGCTACACAGGACAGCTACACCAGTTCTTGAGAATTCTCAAAAACACCCTGCAAAGGCAGCGAATAGACCACACCAGCTACACAGGGAACATAACCTGGCCAAGCGAACTCATAGCCAAGCGAACTCGTGGCCAAACGAACTCGTAGCCAAGCGAACTCGTAGCCAAGCGAAATCGTAGCCAAGCGAACTCGTAGCCAGGCCAAGAAACATGAGTAGCCCTTGCCCTTGCTTGTTCTCACAATGAGGAAGGCAAGCAAATTCTGAGAACTCGCAGAAACCAAACCAGCTAGGCAAGTCCAAGTAAGGAGCCACTCACGACGCGACACCTGGCACGATCTCCAGAGCCGCTACAGTGTCCCCCTCCCTCAGCCGCATGGCCCTCACTCCCCTCGCTGTCCGCCCACTCTGGCGCAGCTGGTTGGGGGGAACAGGGGGGACGGGTGGTGTGTGGGGGGGGGAGGGGGGGACAGTTATGGGGTGTGGGGTATGGAACACCTCAGCTGCAAGGCCCTCACTCCCCTCGCGGTCCTGCCGCTCTGGCGCAGCTGGTTTTGGGGGAAGGGGGGGGGGGTGGGGTAGGACTTATGGGTAAAGGGGCACCTCAGCTGCATGGCCCTCACTCCTTGTGCTGTAATGCCGCTCTGGCGCAGCTGGTTAGGGGGGGATGGGGGGAACGGGTGGTGTGGAGGGGAAGGGGGAGTGTTACGGGGTATAGGACATGGAGCACCTCAGCCGCATGGCCCTCACTCCCCTCACTATCCTACCACTCTGGCGTAGCTGGTAGAGGGGTGGGGTGGGAAGGGTGGGGGTGGTGAGGGCAGAGGATATATGGCATGGGGAATCAAAGCCGCATGTCTCTCACTGTCCTCACTGCCCGGCCACTCTGAGGGCGAAGCATCGTGTGAACAATATTATCCAGAATTCGAAGGACAGTGTGATATGATTTTCGCTGTGAGAAGACTCAAAACGAAACTCATATCACACTCTGAGCTGAGGGCGAGGCATCGTGTGAGGCATATTGTTCAGAATTCTAAGAACGGCTTGTGTGCTCTCTCGCCCCCAGAACGCGCTGGCTAACAAAGATGACTTTTGAGTCAACCCAAAAGTCACCTCAACTCAAAAGTCGCCTAGGCATTGCGGGAGGCATATTATTCCGAATTCTAAGAACAGCGTCTGTACTCTCTCACCCTGAGGACGCGCTGGCTAACAAAGATGATCGCACGCTTGTTTTGAGGCGCCTCAAAACTAGATGATCGCACTCTTGGGAGGCAATCGTCAAATATGATAACCGCATATTATTTTGGGGGGGGGGGGGGTGGGTGGGTGGAGAGAAAGAGGTGGGGGGAAGGGGGAGGACGAACACCTGCACTGCACCCTCGCTGACGAAGAATGGAAAAGAGACCATTCTGAGAACCCAACTGCACCCAACTGACGATGACCTGGTCATCATCTAAAGTCGGGTTCTGAGAATTCAGGTGTGTTTTGAGTTGACTCAAAACACTTCTGAGAATCCTAAAAAACCAACCCACCCTCACTGCCGACCACCCAGAAAGATATGGACTCCCACCAGCACAGCACCCTCACTGATGAAGGAAGGGAACGACACCCACCTGGTCGTCATCGCACGCGAATCGAACGATATTGCCGGACTGCGAGCCGACCAATAGCGAGTCGCCAGCTGTCGCTCTCCGCACCCATGCCAGCTCATCGCCCTCTCCCTGCCGCACACAGGGTGCAAGCCATGGGGATGGGGAAAGGGCAGAAAGGAGTTGAATGCGGTGCAATGAGAATGGGAGAGGGAAACGAGGAGAAGGCGGTACTGAAGGGTTCAAAGCGATGCGGTGCAGTGCAGCGCAGCAAAGTGCAGTGGGCTGGAGGGGGCATACCAGCTGAATGGCAATGAGCCCACTCTTCCTTGTGTCGCTAAAGGCATGCAGCACAGTGCACTTGCTGACGTCCACGTGACCCACAGACACAGACACAGACACAAACACGCGCACACAAGTAGACCCACCAGCTGAATGGCGATGAGCCCGCTCTTCCGTGTGTCGCTGAAAGCATGCAGAGCAGTGCGCTTGATGAACCCCCCTCGAGTCATCATCACCAGGTAGGCTTCTTCTGAGAAGTTGCCCACCGGCAGCATTGATGTGATGCGCTCTGAGTCTTGCAGCGGAACGATCTGGTGGTCAGGTGGGAGGGGGTTGGCGGAATAGGGGGGATGGGGGGGGAAGGGGGGATGGGCGGAAAGGCGAGATGGGGGGAAAGGGAGAGAAGGGGGGAAGAAGTCAAAATGACCAGACAGGTGTCTTCTGAGAAGTTTCCTACCGGCAGCATTGATGTGATGCGCTCTGAGTCTTGCAGAGGAACGATCTGATGCTGGGAAGGGGGGGGGGGAGGACGGGGGGGTGGAGGGATGGAGGGACGGAGGGATGGGGGGGAGGGAGGCAGAGAGAGGAGTCAGCATGGCCAGATAGGCGTCAGCGTCGACGTGATTCACTCCGAGTCTTGCAGAGGAACGATCTGATGCATGGAGACGAGGAGGGGGGGGGGGAGGGGAGGGGATGGGGGAGATGGTAAGGGGGAGGAAGAAATGGTGGGGAATGGTAGGACCGTTCCTAAGTATATAGAATCCAAGGTTAAAAAAAGAAAGAAAGAAAGAAAGAAAGAAAGAAGTTATGACTTCTCGAGTAAGAATGGGAGATAGGAAGACAAACGATGGCAGGGCGAGTATATCTTGAGTCGACTCAAAATACACCTGGACTGCACAAACGATGGCAGGGCGAGTATATTTTGAGTCGACTCAAAATACACCTGGACTGCACAAACGATGGCAGGGCGAGTTGGCGACGTGCCTGGGAGATCGGAGAGCCAATGGCAGTGCGGGAGCCCTCCGGGATTTGGTACCCTTTCATGGTGTAAGCCACTCCGCGGTCACTGTAGACATGGAGACACAGAATGCGACAATAGAAAACACAACATTGGAGGGGGGGAAAAAGCCTTTTGGCTCCCGCACTGCCATTGGCTCTCCCATCTCCCAGGCACAACATTGACCGCGGGATTTGGTCACTGTAGACATTGAGACACAGAAAGCGACAATAGAAAACACAACATTGGTGAAGGGGGGGGGGGAACATTCCATGTTGTAGGCTGCACCACCCCTTGGTATTGTCACGTAAAGACCACGGAAAGACAGGAAAATAGAGCTATCTTCAGCAAAATCTGTGACAAGATCATGACGCGAGTGTAATCAAGTACCTTCATTCATTATAGCATAAAAGCTGAATAACAACACTGTTTAGGAAATCACAAAAAAGAAAAGAAAGAAAGAAAAACGAATAGCACGTGAAGATGAGCTTGGTGGCATGAGTGCGGCAAGGCAAACCAGAAATCCTGCCATGGCATCATCCACCTTCAGCTTGCTGCCAGACTTCCGCCAGGGACACCCAGACGTGTCCCTGGCATCATCCGCCTTCAGCTTGTTGAGTTACACAAAAAAAAGCTGTTGTATAATGAGTCGATTTTTGAGTCGACTCAAAAATCCGCCAGGGACACCCAGACAGAGACACCGACAGACAAACCCCAGACTCACAGATAGACAGAGAGGCAGCCACTGACAGAATGACAGAGAGACAAAGAGACAGAGAGACAGGGCGACAGAGAGACAGAGAGACAGGGAGACAGAGAGACAGGGCGACAGAGAAGGAGACATGGACATCCCACGCCTAAACCTAGCCCCACCGGAAAAGAAGAGAACAGAGTACATTAGTGCGGCAGACAGCGCATCGCTTTTGAGTGGACTCAAAAGCGGAAAAGAAGAGAACAGAGTATCATTAGTGCGGCAGAAAGACCTTTGAGGAAGACCTAAGACGAGCAGTCTCAGGAAGACTTTTGAGGCGCCTCAAAAGGACCCCCACACCTAAGACGAGCAGTCTCAGGAAGACTTTTGAGGCTCCTCAAAAGGACCCCCACACCTAAGACGAGCAGTCTCAGGAAGACTTTTGAGGCGCCTCAAAAGGACCCCCACACCTAAGACGAGCAGTCTCAGGAAGACTTTTGAGGCGCTGCAGGAAGACGAACAGTCCACCTGAAGACGAGCAGTCCACCTGAAGACGAGCAGTCCACCTGAAGACGAGCAGTCCACCTGAAGACGAGCAGTCCACCTGAAGACGAGCAGTCCACCTGAAGACGAGCAGTCCACCTGAAGACGAGCAGTCCACCTGAAGAAGAGCACGGTGTCGTGGGTGCGGCACACCACGAATCGCGCCATGGCATCATCGGCCTTCAGCTTCCCGCCCGACTTCCCCGCAGTGCCTCTCTTCTGCGCTGAAAAGGTGTCCGCTGCCATGCGCTTCACGTACCCGCGCTCGCTCAGGTTCTGGATGGGACAACACGGGGGGGCAGGGGAGGGAGAGCGGGGAATGGGGAGGGAAGGAGTGAATGTGGGGGACGGCAGGTGGGGAAAGTGACATGCGCTTCACGTACCCGCGCTCGCTCAGGTTCTGGATGGGACAACAAGGGGGGGCAGGGGAGGGAGAGCGGGGAATGGGGAGGGAAGGAGTGAATGTAGGGGAGGGCAGGTGGGGAAAGTGACATGCGCTTCACGTACCCGCGCTCGCTCAGGTTCTTCATGGGACAACAAGGGGGGGCAGGGGAGGGAGAGCGGGGAATGGGGAGGGAAGGAGTGAATGTGGGGGACGGCAGGTGGGGAAAGTGACATGCGCTTCACGTACCCGCGCTCGCTCAGGTTCTGGATGGGACAACAAGGGGGGGCAGGGGAGGGAGAGCGGGGAATGGGGAGGGAAGGAGTGAATGTGGGGGACGGCAGGTGGGGAAAGTGACATGCGCTTCACGTACCCGCGCTCGCTCAGGTTCTGCGCAACGAATTGGGGTGAAGGGAAGGGAGGGAACGTGATTTGAGTCGTAGCAAGACGTTTTTGAGAATTCTCAAAAACACCCTGCAAAATCAACGAATTGGGGTCAAGGGAAAGGAGGGTACGTGATTTGAGTCGTAGCAAGACCCCTTCAGCTTGCCTCCTGTCTTGCCCGCTGTCCCGGGCTTCTGCACTGGTAAGGTGTCCGCTCCCATGCGCTTCACGTACCCTCGCTTGCTTAGGCTCTCATCAGAAAATTGAGGGAAGGGGAAGGGGGGAGTCACAGCAAGCACCTTCAGCTTGCCTCCCAGCTTGCCCGCTGTGCCTCTCTAGTGCGCTGAAAAGGTGCCTGCTGCCATGCGCTTCATGCTCCCACGCTCGCTCTGGTTCTGAACAACAAATGGGCCGGCAGGGCGAAGAGGGAACTCAGCATACAGCATACAAGCCGCACGTACCAGCAGCACGTACCAGCAGCACGTACCAGCAGCACAGTGCCATTGGGAATGACGTCAGACGGATCCAGGTCGGCAGCAGAGCCGTCCGCCTCGATCCTGGTCCTCCTCGGCCCGCCAAACTCCTCCTTCAGAGCCATCGCCTCCCGTTTCACCGTCTGCAGAACCCTCTTTCTGCTCGCCAGCAGGTCCTGCAGATCCGCAATGTCGCCCTTTAGACGAGCGTGCTCCTCCTCGAGCTTGGACACCTGGGTTTGAGGATGGGAGGAAGGGGTGGTGTGGGGGGGGGGGGGGGGGGGGGGGCTTTGCCGTCTGCAGAACCCTCCTTCTGCTGGCTAGCAGGTCCAGCCGATCCGCAATACCCGCATTCAAGCGCGCATGCTCCTCCGCGATCTTGGACACCTGGGTTTGGGAGAGGGGGTGAAGGGAAGGGGAGGGGGTGAGTGGGAATGGAGAAAGGGGAATAGGGAAATAAAAAAGGATGAATGGGCAGGGAAGAGCTGGGGCGGGGTTATCCTAGGGAGGGATGAAGTGGGGAAGGGAGGAAGGTAGGGATGAGTGGGGGGGGAAAAGCTTTGGTTTCAAACACACATTGCATTATGCAAGTGACACGGCTGAGGAAAGTCATGGTGTCCATTTTTTAGGCACCTAAAAAATAGACTCCTCACTTTTGAGGCACCTCAAAAATAGACTCCTCACTTTTGAGGCACCTCAAAAATAGACTCCTCAGTTTTGAGGCACCTCAAAAATAGACTCCTCAGTTTTGAGGCACCTCAAAAATAGACTCCTCACTTTTGAGGCACCTCAAAAATAGACTCCTCAGTTTTGAGGCACCTCAAAAATAGACTCCTCAGTTTTGAGGCACCTCAAAAATAGACTCCTCACTTTTGAGGCACCTCAAAAATAGACTCCTCACTTTTGAGGCACCTCAAAAATAGACTCCTCAGTTTTGAGGCACCTCAAAAATAGACTCCTCACTTTTGAGGCACCTCAAAAATAGACTCCTCACTTTTGAGGCACCTCAAAAATAGACTCCTCAGTTTTGAGGCACCTCAAAAATAGACTCCTCACTTTTGAGGCACCTCAAAAATAGACTCCTCACTTTTGAGGCACCTCAAAAATAGACTCCTCAGTTTTGAGGCACCTCAAAAATAGACTCCTCACTTTTGAGGCACCTCAAAAATAGACTCCTCAGTTTTGAGGCACCTCAAAAATAGACTCCTCAGTTTTGAGGCACCTCAAAAATAGACTCCTCACTTTTGAGGCACCTCAAAAATAGACTCCTCAGTTTTGAGGCACCTCAAAAATAGACTCCTGTGGCCAGGCATGCAATGCAATGCCAGTGACACGGCTGAGGAAAGTCGTGGAAGTCGTGCAATGCAATGCAATGCAATGCAATGCAATGCAATGCAATGCAATGCAATGCAATGCAATGCAATGCAATGCAATGCAATGCAATGCAATGCAATGCAATGCAATGCAATGCAATGCAATGCAATGCAATGCAAATGCAATGCAATGCAATGCAATGCAATGCAATGCAATGCCAATGCAATGCAATGCAATGCAATGCAATGCAATGCAATGCAATGCAATGCAATGCAATGCAATGCAATGCAATGCAATGCAATGCAATGCAATGCAATGCAATGCAATGCAATGCAATGCAATGCAATGCAATGCAATGCAATGCAATGCAATGCAATGCAATGCAATGCAATGCAATGCAATGCAATGCAATGCAATGCAATGCAATGCAATGCAATGCAATGCAATGCCAATGCAATGCAATGCAATGCAATGCAATGCAATGCAATGCAATGCAATGCAATGCAATGCAATGCAATGCAATGCAATGCAATGCGCGGTGTAATGACTCACTTCAAGAGATGTGAGGCGCCGGAGTGGTGTGCTGAGAAGAGCATCAGCCTGTATAGGGGATAAACCAAGGGCTGGCATGCGTTCATGCGCGCACGAGCATACACACAAACACACACACACACTCTCACACACACACACACACACTCTCACACACACTCACACACACACACACACTCACACACACACTCACACACACACACACTCACACACTCACTCACACACACACACACTCACACACACACCCGCACACACACACACACACTCACACACACACACACACTCTCACACACACACACACTCACACACGCACACACTCACACACACACACACACAGTCACACACACACACACTCACACACACGCGCGCGCGCGCACGCACGCATGCACGCACGCACCCACCCACGCCACGCACACACCCACACACACACACACACACACACACACACACACACACACACACACACATGTGGGAGAGGATTGCCAGTTGTCCAGAAGCCTTCATCAGGCCCAGCAGTGAATGTCTACACATATATGTACGTATATACACACATATCTATACATATATATTAAACAAACACATAATCATACACCTTTTTGGGTCCCTACACACCTTGCTTAAGGGTTTCAGCAGCATCAGCCGGAGTGGCAGCCGCCTTAAGGATGTCCACCAGGCGATCCAAGCTCCCTAGACCAATCAGCAGGCCCTGGGGGGTGTGTGTGCCAAGGAGAGGGGGGGAGGGGAAAGAGGAGTGGGGAGGGGGAAGAGGAGTGGGGAGGGGGAAGAGGAGCGGGGAGGGGGAAGAGGAGTGGGCAGGGGGAAGAGGAGTGGGGAGGGGGAAGAGGAGTGGGGAGGGGGAAGAGGAGTGGGGAGGGAGAAGAGGAGCGGGGAGGGGGAAGAGGAGCGGGAAGGGGGAAGAGGAGTTGGGAGGGGGAAGAGGAGCGGGGAGGGGGAAGAGGAGTGGGGAGGGGGAAGAGGAGCGGGGAGGGGGAAGAGGAGTGGGGAGGTGCTGCCTTGAGGATGACCACCAGACGATCCAAGCTGCCCAGACCAATCAGCAGGCCCTGGGGGGTGTGCGTGCGGACGTGAGGGGGGAAGGAAAGGGGGGGAAGGAGGGGGGAAGGGGGGGGTTGGGAGAGAAGAGATGATAGGGTGGGGAAGTGGTGATTTGAGAATGTGCACCGGATGATCCAAGCCAAGCTGCCTAGACCAATCAGCAGGCCCTGGGGGTAATTGGGTAATCAAAGGGTGGAGATGTGGGGAAAGGTGGGAGAAAGGTGATGAGAGGGATGCGGAAAAGGAGAAGAAAACAAGAGAAAGACGGGCAGGATGAAGAACCGTACCTGTACATAGTGGTCCCGGTCCTCCGCCTTCCGAAGCTGGAATGTGGTTCGGCGCTCGATGACCTGGCAGCGGAAGTCAAGGAAGACCTGATTGGTCGTGGGGACGGGGGGGAGGGGGAGAAAAAGGAGGGTGAGAAAAAGGGGAGAAAGGTAAGGAGAGAAAGGTAAGGAGAGAAAGGTAAGGAGAGAAAGGTAAGGAGAGAAAGGTAAGGAGAGAAAGGTAAGGAGAGAAAGGTAAGGAGAGAAAGGTAAGGAGAGAAAGGTAAGGAGTGAAAGGTAAGGAGTGAAAGGTAAGGAGAGAAAGGTAAGGAGAGAAAGGTAAGGAGAGAAAGGTAAGGAGAGAAAGGTAAGGAGAGAAAGGTAAGGAGAGAAAGGTAAGGAGAGAAAGGTAAGGAGAGAAAGGTAAGGAGAGAAAGGTAAGGAGAGAAAGGTAAGGAGAGAAAGGTAAGGAGAGAAAGGTAAGGAGTGAAAGGTAAGGAGAGAAAGGTAAGGAGAGGTAAGGAGAGAAGGTAAGGAGAGAAAGGTAAGGAGAGAAAGGTAAGGAGAGAAAGGTAAGGAGAGAAAGGTAAGGAGAGAAAGGTAAGGAGAGAAAGGTAAGGAGAGAAAGGTAAGGAGAGAAAGGTAAGGAGAGAAAGGTAAGGAGAGAAAGGTAAGGAGAGAAAGGTAAGGAGAGAAAGGTAAGGAGAGAAAGGTAAGGAGAGAAAAGGTAAGGAGAGAAAGGTAAGGAGAGAAAGGTAAGGAGAGAAAGGTAAGGAGAGAAAGGTAAGGAGAGAAAGGTAAGGAGAGAAAGGTAAGGAGAGAAAGGTAAGGAGAGAAAGGTAAGGAGTGAAAGGGGTGAATGGGACTATTAAGGTAAATGAGGTAAATGAGAAAGGTAAGGAGAGAAATGGGAATGATAGGTGGAGAGCGGAGGGGGACTTTCTGAGTTGAGCAGCTGCCGAGGACATGCGTGCGTTTTGAGATGTCTCAAGAGTCGTGCTCTTGAGAGGTCTCAAAACACAACTTTCATCCCACGGAATGATAGGTGGAGGGGTTCTTTCTGAGTCGAGCCCCACAACTTTCATCCAACGACTGCCAAGGATGTTTCTGAGAATTCTCTCGACTACAACCCTTCTTTTGAGTCGATGCAGAAGCAAATTAGCACAAGCGAATGATAGGTGGATGGGTTCTGAGTTGAGGAGCTGCCGAGGATGCAATTTTTTAGAATTCTCTTGACTTCAATCCTTGTCGTGCACGTGTCCTCTTCCAATCCTTCTGTCGAGAGAATTCTAAAAAACGCCCTGGATGATTCTCTCGACAGAAGCTATTCTGATCGACACCCTGGCCTGGACACATGCGTGAGAGAAGGATTGAAGGGGAGTGAGAAATACAGTGAAATCAGGGAGAGGGGCGGGAGAACTGAAAAATATTCTGATCTACCCACAGCTCTCTTTATTGTAACCTGAAGTTGTAACCACGTGGAGGATTAAAGACTTCTCTCACCTGAAAGAAGTCTCTGAGGGTCATCTCCTTGGGCTCGCCATTGACCAGCCTGAGGGGGAGAGGGGGAAAGGGGGAAAGGGGGAAAGGGGGAAAGGGGGAAAGGGGGAAAGGGGGAAAGGGGGAAAGGGGGAAAGGGGAAACGAGGGGGCGGGAAGGGGAGGGATGGGGGGTTGGGGGGAGTAGAGTGGGAAGATGGGGGGAGAGGAAGGGCCTGGAAGAAGTCTCTGAGGGTCATCCCCTTGGGCTCGCCATTGACCCGCCTGAGGGGGAGAGGGGGAGAGGGGGAGAGGGGAAATGAGGGGGCAGGGGCGGGGTGGGGGGAGTAGAGTGGGAGGGGGAGAGGACGGGATTGAAAGAAGTCACTCAGGCCCACTCACAGCATGACACGCACATTGACAGCATGACACGCACATTGACAGCATGACACGCACATTGACAGTGCCGCTCACTCCACCTACCAATGCTATGCCACTCACCCCACAAGGTTGCAGTTGAACCACGTGTGCAGCTGCGTGTGCTTGTACAGCGAGGCCAGCACAGCCATGGGGGTGGCGCCTTTGAGGCCAGCACAGCCATGGGGGTGGCGCCTTTGAGGCCAGCACAGCCATGGGGGTGGCGCCTTTGAGGCCAGCACAGCCATGGGGGTGGCGCCTTTGAGGCCAGCACAGCCATGGGGGTGGCGCCTTTGAGGCCAGAACAGCCATGGGGGTAGACATGAGCACGAGGCGAGGCGAGGATTCCTCGCCGAGGAATTTTGGGGAAAAAAATTCCTCGACCCTCGGGTTTAGGGGGCGAGGATTTTTCTCCTCGCCCCGAGGAAAAATTCCTCGCCTCGAGGCGACGCTCGAAGCATCTCGCTGCCATCCCATCGCCCTTGACTGCCTTCCCCGACTTTGGCTTGCCAGTACACGCACCGCCCACCCCCTCCCCTGCGGCGCTCGCCCACCCGCCAGCCCCCCCACCCCTAGCGCGGGCACTCTCCTGCCCGCCAGCCCCCCCACCCCGAGCAATAGTGCCCGCCCGCCTGCCGGCACCCCCTCCACTAGCCTTGGCGGCGATTGCTTTCTGCCCCGCATTCACTTTTGTCCTCTTACCACTTTCCTGACCCTTCTCAATCTTTATGGCCCTCAAAAGTTCCTTCCTCTTCATCCCCACCCCCTCCCCTCCATCATCAGACACCAAGTAGGCCAAATCCTCCTCCTCACGCTCCTCCGGTTCCCCTTCGGCCCCCTCGTACACCTCTTCCTCGCTGTCATCCCCGCTAATGCTCTCTCTCCCCCCATCACCATCCCCACCAGCAAGCACGTCATACGCCTCCTCCTCCTCCTCCTCCTCCTCCTCCTCCTCCTCCTCCTCCTCCTCCTCCTCCTCCTCCTCCTCCTCCTCCTCCTCCTCCTCCTCCTCCTCCTCCTCCTCCTCCTCCTCCTCCTCCTCCTCCTCCTCCTCCTCCTCCTCCTCCCTCCTCCTCCTCCTCCTCCTCCTCCTCCTCCTCCTCCTCCTCCTCCTCCTCCTCCTCCTCCTCCTCCTCCTCCTCCTCCCCTCCTCCTCCTCCTCCTCCTCCTCCTCCTCCTCCTCCTCCTCCTCCTCCTCCTCCTCCTCCTCCTCCCCTCCTCCTCCTCCTCCTCCTCCTCCTCCTCCTCCTCCTCCTCCTTCTCAGCCTCGTCCTCCTCCTCCGCGCCCCCTTCCCCCCCCTCCTCCTCATTCTCTTCCTCCCCCTCCCCTCCATTGTTGCAGATTCGCAGAGCGTCACCAACCCCCTTCCCGCACTGTTTGGCGCCACTTATCCCTGCACACATCAGGCCGCCACCCTTCCTCCCAGCCCCATCACGCGCGGCCTCTCGCGCTTTCTCAAGGTCTGCCTCGGCGGCAGCAAGCTTTAAATGACGCTGCTGCGTTGCTGTGGGCGCGGATCCCCCGTCATCCCCCTCCCCCTCTCCCTTTCTACCACCCCTCCCTTCCCCTCCGCCGCGGGCAGCAGCACCGCGGCCCCTCCCCCTCCCTCCACCACTTGTTGAGCGGCCCCCCATTCCTCCCGGGCCTGGAGCTTGCTGGCTGTTGAACAGGCGTGCTTGCGCCCTACAGACCTATTTGCCTCCCAATGCTGTTTTTTGCTTCAGCAAATCCCCCTAACACTATCCCTAGTGTCGCCAAGTCAACAACCCCCCCCCATGAATTGAGTTTAAGCTAACGAAATGGCAAACATTAGCTCATAGGAGCCTGGGTAGGCTTTACACTACCTCAAAACGAAACTGCTAGGCTTGGCTGATCCTGAAAAAATGGATCAGCCAACCCACATTTTTTTAGATTGTACCAGCGCGCTTCGAGGCGCGCTGGAACAAAATGACGCGAGGAATTTTTCCTCGCGAGGGAAAAATTCCCCGCGAGGAATGAAATTCCTCGCCATTCCGCACCCGAGGAAATCCGAATCCTCGTTTCCTCGGCGAGGCGAGGCGAGGAATCCTCGGCGAGGAATTTTGCCGAGTTGGAATCCTCGAATAGCCGAATTCCGAGGCGAGGAATTCCGAGGCGAGGAATTCCGAGGCGAGGAATTCCTCGCCTCGTTGCTCATGTCTACATGGGGGTGGCGCCTTTGAGGCCAGCACAGCCATGGGGGTGGCGCCTTTGAGGCCAGCACAGCCATGGGGGTGGCGCCTTTGAGGCCAGAACAGCCATGGGGGTGGCGCCTTTGAGGCCAGCACAGCCATGGGGGTGGCGCCTTTGAGGCCAGCACAGTCATGGGGGTGGCGCCTTTGAGTCGACACAAAAACAGCCATGGGGGTGATGACGCCCCGCTTCACCTCCACCACCACGCGCATGCCCGACTGGTCGCTCTCATTTTGAGGCGCCTCAAAACGCTTCACCTCCACCACCACGCGCATGCCCGACTGGTCGCTCTCATTGCAGACGTCACTCACCCCACGAGGTTGCAGTTGAATCTCGTCTGCAGCTGCGTGTGCTTGTACAGGGACGCGAGCACAGCCATGGGGGTGGCGCCCCTTTTGACCTCCACCACCACCCGCATGCCCGACCGGTCGCTCTCATCGCGGATGTCACTCACCCCCTCCACCACCTTGCTGTTCACCAGCTCGGCGATTTTTTCGACTAAAGCAGCCTTGTTTGTCTGGTATGGCAACTGTGTGAGGCGGTTCGGGGGGGTGGGGTGGAGATGGTGGAGGGGGGAGGGGGGAGGGGAGAGGGGAGGAGGAAGGGGGGGGGGAGAGAGAGAGAGAGAGGAACGAAAAAGTGGGTTGTTAGGGGAGCCCGACCAGTCGCTCTCGTCGCGGATGTCTCTCACCCCCTCCACCGCCTTGCCATTCACCAGCTCGCTGTTTTTCTCAACAAGGGCGGCCTTGTTTGTCTGATAGGGCAGCTGTGGGCAGGAGGAGGAGGGGGGGAAGAGGGGTTGGGAGACGGCCGGCGACAGGAGAGAATATATCAAGTGCCAAAGGGGACAAGCTTTGTGCCAAAGAGAATATATCAAGTGCCAAAGTGTCAGGCGCCTCAAAACTAGACTCCTGTCAAGGGGAGAGAACGAAGAAAGATTCGGCTGCAGGCAAGTGATCAAAGGAAGGAGCCCCAGAGGAGCCCACGACAAAAAGACAAAAAGAAGGAGGCATGGAGCCCATGACAAAAAGGGACTACCGACATGGTGAAAACGACCACGACTGACTGATGCGCACCTCGGTAATCACAATCCCCAGACGGTTGCCCCTGCTCCCTGCGCCCCCTCCTCCCAGCTCTTCCACATACGCCCTCCCCCGCACCACGATCGACCCCCTTCCCGTGCGGTACGCCTCCTCCATGCTGCTTGGAGCAGGAGGGGAGGGGGGGGGGGGGAGAGGAAGGGACCAGAACGAGGGCGGGAAGGCCAGGAGAAGAAAGGAGAGAATGAAGAGATGACGCCCGAGCCTCTGGAGTCATCCCCTGCGCCCCCTCCCTCCTCCCAGCTCTTCCACATAGGCTCTCTCCCGCACCACTATCCATCCACCCCCTCCCCGTGCGATACGCCTCCTCCATGCTGGGCGGGGGGGGGACGAGAGAGGGAAAGAGAGAGGGAAAGAGAGAGGGAAAGAGAGAGGTGGGGATGACCGGTCCCTGGCACATGAGCATGAGGTCCTCAGTGGAGATGGCAGGGTTGTCAGTGAATGGACGGACGGGCCCACCTTCTGCTTTTGACTTTTGAGTGAGTCGACTCAAAAGGCTGTCAGTGAATGGACGGACTGTTGTCAGTGAATGGACGGACGGGCCCACCTTCTCGCACCTGAGTCCCTCACACACAGCTTACCCTAACCTGAAGTCCCAAGGATGACTCCGTCCGGTGGGGAAGTCCAGATGAGCATGAGCTCTTCGGTGGCGATGGCATTGCTGTCAATGCATGGACCTGCCCACCTTCTTGCACCTTAGTTCCTCGCATCACACACAGCCAGCCCTACCCTGAAGTGCCGAGAATGACCCCGCCGGTGGGGAAGTCTGGTCCCTAGCAGATGAGCATTGAGGTCCTCAGTGGAGATGGCAGGATGGCACGTTCTCAGCTTCTGATGCTTACCCAGAAGTGCCCAAAATGACGCCTCCGGTGGGGAAGTCTGGTCCCTGGCAGATCAGCATGAGGTCTTCTGTGGAGATTGAGGGGTTGTCAATGAACGCTGAGAGGGCGTCCACCAGCTCCGATAGATTGTGGGGAGGGATGTTAGTGGCCATACCCACCTGATGGTGATGGGGACGCACAGGAGGGAAGGGAAAGGGAGGGAAAGGAGAAAAGGCAGTCAAGGGGACAGCGTGAGATCTTCTGCGGTGGTGGCAGGGTCGCCAATGAAAGCTGAGATCGCATCCACCAGCTCTCTTAGTCTGTGGGAAGGGATGTTGGTGGCCATGCCCGCAGCCCACCTGATGGTGATGGGGGAGTGAGGGGGGAGTGAGGGGGGAGTGAGGGGGGAGTGAGGGGGGAGGCGGGGATGTGGAAGGGGGGATTCAGGGTTGTCAATGAACGCTGCTGAACGTAAGTAGAGGAACGGGGAGCAAGTGAGCTAGTCAGCAAGTGAGCAAGTGAGCTAAGGGGAGGGTGAAAATATCTTTCATGGGAGAAGCACGAGGCGCCAAGTTGTCAACCCAGTCGATGCTCGCTGGGTTATGAGTGCATCGACGCGTGCAAGGGCGAAAATATATTTCAAAGTCGTGAGATGGTAAGTAAACACTTCGACAAAAAGAAACCCAAACATCCTTCGATCACAATCCCTTGAGATCCGTTAAAGCGAGGATCCCGAAACCCCCGAGTTAGAAAGCTATGTTTTTTATCTGTGGGGCGTTTTGGCTGTGAGACCAGGGTTTCGGTTTTTGGTCGGAGGGGGTTTCGTGATCCTCGCTTTAAGGAGCAGCACAGGGAGGCGGGCAGGAAGCACTGTCGGCTTGTTGGTTGATGTGTCAAAGTAGCCTATGAGGCGCCCTAAAAGCATACCCAAAAACGTACCGCAATGCCCTGAGAGCCGTTGAGTAGGAGCACCGGGACCCGGGCAGGAAGCACTGTTGGCTCGTTGGTTGACTGTTGACGTGCCAAAGTTGCTTACGAGGACCCACGACTTCAAAGGCAGAAACAAAAACGTACCGCAATGCCTTGAGAGCCGTTGAGTAGGAGCACCGGGACTCGGGCAGGAAGCACCGTCGGCTCGTTGGTTGACGCGTCAAAGTTGGGAGCATAGTCAACCTGAGTAAGGGAAGGGGGGGAAATGGAAAACAGGGAGGCAGAGGCGAATGGGGGATAGTGCAGGCCGCCTCACCCCCCAAGGTGACGGGAGGTTGTGAATATCATATTATGCACAATGTGCAAGCGATAAGTTGTGATGAGACGTGATGAGGGCTTGAGCGTGGCGTGTGTCGAGTTGTGACAGGCCGTCAGTCATAAGTTGTGTTGTGATGTGATCTGTGCAGAATACAAGTTGCTGCCACGTATTGACACAATGGCACCTATTTGGTGTTCAATTGGACTCAGGCCGTTAGTCATAAGTTGTGAAGTGATCTGTGCATAATCAGGTTGAGCAGATTTGACCATGGGCATAAGATTACCTTACATGTTTGACTCGGAAGATCCATCCACTAGCCCAATCAGCTGACTAGCCCAATCAGCTAACTAGCCCAGTCAGCTGACTAGCTCACTTGCTCGATTAAAATCGAACATAAGTGACAATTGACCGTAACCTTTTGAGTCAACTCAAAAGCGATCCACTAGGCCAATCAGCTGCTCAATCTAAATGAAGAACTCCTTAATCCCCGATTAAACCTCAACCCCCAACTGACCGTGTCACTGCGGATGTCTTCCAGGAGCATTTTCTCTGTGAGAGGCTGGAGAGAGGAAAGGGAGGGAGCGATGGCGGGAGTGGGGAGAGTGGGGGGGGTAGTTGGGGGAGGAGACATGCGGTGGGTCATGTGAGAGTGCAGGGTGTTTGGGGTTGGGGGTGCACGGTGAGAGCTCGCTTTTGAGTCGACTCAAATGCAGGGTGAGTGGGGTTGCACGGTGAGAGAGAGCTCTCAAAAACACCCTGCACAATCATGGGGGGAGTGGTTGGGGGAGGAGACAGGCGGTGGTCACGTGAGAGGCTGGAGGGGTGGAAAGGGAGGGGAGTGCCATGGAGAGTGGGGAGAGTGGGGGAATTGGGGGAGGAGACATGCGGTGGATCATTTTTTAGTCGACTCAAAAATCACCCTTGGGTCATGGTGTATTTTGAGTCGACTAAAAAATCACCCTTGGGTCATGTGAGAGGCTGGTGAGGGGGAAAGGGGGAGGATGGGAGGAGCGAGGGGTGAGGGACACGAGAAAAAGCAAAAGGGAGAAGCAACGTTGGCATGCCCGTGCACAGAGGGGTGGTTCTCCAGTGAACTCAGGCACGTGCTAACCAGCAGAGGGAGGTTGGCTGTTCTTGTTTTGAGGCGCCTCAAAAATAGACTCCATGCACAGAGGGGTGGTTCGCGTTTCTGTCAACTCAAAAGCAAACTCAGGCAGCTGCCAACCAGCAGACAGAGGTTACCTGTTTTTGAGGTACCTCAACAATAGACTCCGTGCACGGAGGGGATTTTTGAGTCGACTCAAAAATCACCTGCGGATATTGTCACACGAGACATTTGAAGATCGGCGTGCTATTATCGCGTGGAAGCTTCCGAAGCGTACAGGGGATTTTTTAGTTTCAGCTAGAAAATGTTAGGTGTAGCTACACTTATTCCATTTTTCTAGCCCAGGTTTCGACTCCGAGAATTCCCTCGAGCCGCATTTTGGCCTTGGGATACTCGCGAGCTCCTGCCTATTTAGTCTTGCTCGTTTACTCTTTGTGTATGGTCTGATGAAGGCAGCCACCTGCCGAAACTAGTTACCATCATTTTTACCCTACGATTTCAAGAGAATTCTCTGAGCAAGAATTTTTCTCAAAAAAAAAGTGTTCTACAAGCCCGCTGCCACGTATGGCTAAAACCACCACCAAGTGGTGTTCTCTCAGGCAGCTGCCAACCAGCAGACAGAGGTTACCTGTTTTTGAGGTACCTCAACAATAGACTCCGTGCACGGAGGGTGGTTCGCCAGTGAGCTCAGGCAGGCACCAGCAGAGAGAGGTTACCTGCAGTCTGAGCATTCTCTGCAACGCAATCCGTGACTGCTGAATGACGCACCTGCAGTCTGCACTCGGTGTATCGCATCGCAGCAGCGGGGTCGGCATCCACGGACCCAAAGTTGCCATGGCCGTGCACCAGCGGGGCGCGCAGGGAGAAGTCCTGCGCCATGCGCACGAGAGCGTCATAGACGGCGGTGTCTCCATGTGGGTGAAAGCGCCCTAGGACCTGCCAAACACAGAACGAGAAGGGAGACACAGGAGGTAGCAAGGCTCAGTTTGCAGGGAATAGCCCTGCGCCATGCGCACGAGAGCGTCATAGACGGCGGTGTCTCCATGCGGATGGAACCTTCAAAGAACCTGCACGATGCGAGGATGGGAAGAAAAAGGGCTGGAATGAGGGGGAGGGATACGTGTTATGACGAGAAGAGCTGAATGGCTAGAGGCGGAATGAGGGGAAGGAATAGAGGCGGCAGAGGCGGCAGAGACAGCAGAGGCAGCAGAGGCGGCAGAGGCAGCAGAGACAGCAGAGGCATCATAGGCGGCAGAGGCGGCAAAGGCGGCAGAGGCGGCAGAGGCAGCAGAGGCGGCAGAGGCGGCAGTAGCAAAGCAAGGGGCTGGCAGGGTCGTGAACGCACCTCTCCCACAACTCTAGCCGACTTGCGGAAAGGCTTGGACGACGCCAGACCCAGCTCATGCATGGCGTAGCTGCGGGCAGGGGTGAGCGGGGGGGAAGGGGGGGGGGACGGGGGACAGGAGGGGGAGGGGTGCGGAATGACCAGAGTGGTAGTGGTGAGAAGGGGGGCTTGAATGACGCCAGCCCCAGCTCTTGCATGGCGTAGCTGTAGGCAAGGGTGAGCGGGGGGGGGGCGGGGGGTGGGGGGGGAGTGGGTGGGGGGGGGGGAGAAATGGCCAGAGTGGTAGTGGTGAGAAGGGAGGCTTGGATGACACTGCCAGGCCCAGCTCGTGCACGGCATAGCTGTGGGCAAACATGACAGGTGCGCAAGGGGTCGGGGAGAGGGGTAGTAGAGAAGGGATGGGTTGCGAAAGATGAGCGAAAGGGATGTTGTTATGCGCGAATGATGTTTCGGGATCTCAGGCACAGCTCGTGCATATGGCACAGCTGGGTAGGTTGGGTTGAGGAGGATAGGGGGGATCAGGCTGAGAGGGAGCGATTGAGGTCACTCATGGTCTTGGGAAGAGCAGCAGTGCAAATTCGTTGAGGCGCCTCAAAAATCGTTGGGTTGAGGAGGATAGGGGGATCGGGCTGAGAGGGAGCGATTGAGATGAGAAGAGAGCGTCACTGGGGCTGGTTGGTTGGTAGGGAGGCAAAGGGGGGCTGTGGCAATAAGTGGGAACGGCATGGGTGAGACGGGGTTGGTAGCGTACCAGTCCCACCCCACTCCCATTACCACTCACGGAATGCGACGGTGCACTTCTTTCAGCCCGTCCCTCCCTGGCATCCGGTAGCTCCACCTGCACCTTTGAGGCGACTCAAAAGGAGCTCCACCTGCACCTTTGAGGCGACTCAAAAGGAGCTCCACCTGCACCACCCTGCCCGGTGCCAGCACCTCTTTGTTGCATTGACTCTCGTGACTCACAGAATGCGGCGGTGCACTGGCTTGAGTCCGTCCCTTGCATCGGGGAGAGCGCGCCCCACAATAACAGACATGGCGTACGCCGCGTACGACTGCACCGCCTCCTCATGCAGCTCCACATCCACCACCTTCACCAACTATGGTACCCTACTGCCCTTGACATTGACACTCACAGTATGCGGCGGTGCACTGGCTTGAGGCCGTCCCGGGCGTCAGGCAGAGCGCGCCCCACGATGACGGACATGGCGTACGTCACGTAGGACTGCACCGCCTCCTCATGCAGCTCCACCTCCACCACCTTTCCTGCTGCCAGCACCGCTCCGTTGCCGTTCCCATTCCCTGGCCCTCTCCCCTTCCCTCCCTCACTACCACTCTCGGTTCCACTCTCATTCCCGCTCTCCAGCCCGCTCTCCAGCCCGCTCTCAAGCCCGCTCTCCAGCCCACTCTCAATCCCACTCTCCACCTCCACTCCTTCCTCCCCTCCCTCCGCACCCCCCACCTCCCTCCCCTTTCCAGCAGCACTCACAACCGCCATCCTCTGCCCCTGCCTCTGCTCCCCACCCCCCTGCGCATCCTCCCCCAACCCCTGCCCTCCCCTTACAGCCTGCACCCGCACCTGCCCCTGCTGCCCCTGCCCCTGCCCTTGCCCCTGCCGCTGCCCATCCTGCTGTCCATCTCTCCTACTATCCAAGTCCCTCCTACTATCTAAGTCCTTGGGGGAGCGTGAGCTGCTAGAGAACGAGAAGGAGGTCAGCTTGCGAGTCAGCAAGGGTTTAACAGTACCAGCTGCCGCTAGAGGATGGTTGCCTGTTGGGCCTAGCGCCGCTGCTAGGGGGATTACCATGCAATTGGTAGCTCTCCTGCTAAACCCTGCACTCTGAACCCTGGTAAACCCTAACCCCTGAAACCTCCCCAGCGGCTGTCTCCCCCTCATGTGCTCTTGGCAGCGAAGGTTTCTTTGAAAGCCCTCTAGCAACGATACTGATGAGCACGTGGGCGACTGCTGACGGCAGAACCGGCCTCCTAAACCCGCTGCTGCTGTGCCGCTGCTGCTGCCAACGCCTCTGCTGATGCTCATGCTTCCAATGTTTCTGGTGCTACTAGCAGAGGCCGTGATATGGGAACTGAACAGAATCAACGGCCGAGATCGAACCGAGGGAGGGGACGGCCGGAGAGCAGGTTGGAGGAGATGGAAGGAGCGGGTGCTGATGTGGCACAGGGCTGCGCTTGTAGATGCTGCCACGTGGACGATCCACGGCCTCGTGAGCAGTTCAGCCTGGGAGGGAAGGAGGGAGGCGGATTAGAGAGGGGGGAGACATAGGAGGGGGGGGGATTAGAGAGGAGTGGGGACATAGGAGGGGGGAGGATTAGAGACGAGGCGGGACATAGGAGTGGGGAGGATTAGAGAGGAGGGGGGACATAGGAGGGGGGAGCGTGAGCGATGTAGGCAGCAGCAGAACAGCGGAGACGAGGCGAGGCGAGGCCTGATATTGGGAATCTTCTTGGCTTGAATGACAGATCTCGGGGGTGCCTGCGCCGACAAAAACTAAAAACGACGACCCTCGCAATTCGCGCGAATTCGTTCGGAGAATCTACGGTCTGAGATTGTGCGGAGAATTCGCCGACAAACCCTCAACGTCGGATGCGAAGCTTGAGATTCGCGCGGAGCCAGCAAACGGGAAACGGCGGGTGAAGGGTGAGGGCCCAGGGCGCGTAGTACCGATTGCATGCTAGTACCGGCGGCGGCGAGATGGCTGCGTTTGATTCCACGACGAAGCGATCAGAAAGCCGCACTCGCGAGCATCGGCGCAGTGCACACACAAGTGCTGAGCATCACAGCTTGTGATCCGGCCTCCTGGTTGCGCGTACTGCGAGGATTCCGCAATTCCCAAGGTCGCCTTTCCCACCTGAGAAGGGGAGAATCTGTTGGGAATTGCGCGGCAAGCAGCCCCAAATTTGTTTGTCCAAATCCTGAACCCTGCCGCGGATTTAATTTTGCTTGTCCGGATTTGTACTGTAGATTGACTGCTCCGGAATATAATGGTCACTCTGGCTTCCGCTTCTAAAACTTTCCGCTGACCGCTCCGTCGAAATACGTTTCTAAGGAGAAACCACCCTCCGTAATTTCCACCCTCACTCCCTCACACGCGCCCCTTCGCTCCGAACCAACCAGCACTTCGCTTCTGCTGCCTTCCTTATCTGATCAGCAGATTCCTTCCGAACACAACTGGTCAATTTTTGCTCACGAAACCTCAATTCTCGCTCTCCTGAGCTCGGCGTAAGAGAGGCGCTTCGCGGCATTTCATAAACAGACCGACGCTCTTAACGCCATGGCGTCTCTCTTGCCCGCCGCGCCTCTCCTCGGGTCAGCCACCAGTCAATGCCGCTTCGCCACGCAGCACGCGCTGCCACGTCAGCCAGCAAATCGGAATGCCGCTGGCCGAACCGCTATTCAGAGAGGATCACTGGCGATAAGGTCGTCCGTCGATAATTCCGTCCCCGATTTCGAGGCCGGTAGAGCGGAAACGGGAGCAGCGGCGGCGGATGTGAGTCGTCGGTCAGTTCTCCTTGCTCCAGCCGCTGCCGCCGCCGCTGTGGCGCTGAGCCTTGGGATTGCCGCGACAGCCGCTCCTGAAAGCGCGCAAGCCTTTGGTTTGGGTGCGTGCTTTCCCTAGAGTATGGCCGGAGCAATGCAGCTCGAACCTCTCAAAGCCCCCGTATCGTATCGTATCGTATTTTCCAGAGGTATTCATTTGGTTGGGAATGCCCGCACTCGTGCGGTATCTCAGACAGCCCCTACGGCCTCCTCGCTCCTCCCCCTCCCCCTCCCCATCCCCCTACCCCTCCCCCAACCTATCTCCCTCCCCCTCCCCCTCCCCCTACCCCTCCCCCTACCCATCTCCCTCCCCCTCCCCCTCCCCCTAACCCCTCCCCATCCCCCTCCCCCTCCCCCTCCCCCTCCCCCTCCCCATCCCCCTCCCCCTCCCCCTCCCCCTCCCCCTACCCCTCCCCTTTTTCGACTCCAGCTAATAGCAAGGAGTGGCTCAAGGCGCTGAATCGCAAGCCAGATTGCAACATCTCAAACGGCTCCTCTTGCCACTGCATGACTTCCCGCTCCCCCCCCACCCCCCATATTTCGCCCCAGCCGGCCCCAAGGAGTGGTTGAAAGCGCAGAAGCGCAAGTCTATGCAGTTTCTGCTCAACCCTCTCAGCGTCTCTTCTGCGCGCCTTGCAGCTGCCAAGGCCGAGTTCGGTGGGTGGCTCGTTGGGTTGGTGAGTGGTTGTGTTAGTGTGGGGTTGGTTGGGTGAATGGGCGTGTGCACGTGTGGGCGTGTACGTGTAGGTGTGTAGGTGTGTAGGTTTGTAGGCGTGTAGGTGTGTAGGTGTGTAGGTGTGTAGGTGTGTAGGTGTGTAGGTGTGTAGGTGTGTAGGTGTGTAGGCGTGTAGGCGTGTAGGTGTGTAGGTGTGTAGGTGTGTAGGTGTGTAGGTGTGTAGGTGTTAGGTGTGTAGGTGTGTAGGTGTGTAGGCGTGTAGGTGTGTACGTTAGGTGTGTAGGTGTGTAGGTGTGTACGTGTGTACGTGTGTACGTGTAGGTGTGTAGGTGTGTAGGTGTGTACGTGTGTACGTGTAGGTGTTTAGGTGTGTACCCATGGGTGCAAAGCGTCTGCTCAATCCTCTCAGCGTCTCCTCTGTGCGCCTTGCGGCTGCCAAGGCTGAGTCCCATGGGTGGCTGTGTGGGAGGGTGGGTCGGAGGGTGGGAGGGTGGGAGGGTGGATGGAAGGGTGGATGGAAGGGTGGGTGGAAGGGTGGGTGGAAGGGTGGGTGGAAGGGTGGGTGGAAGGGTGGGTGGAAGGGTGGGTGTGAAGGCGATGGGGGACTGTGCATTGTCCCTCAGCGCCCTGCTAGACCTGGCATTGGTGCAGGCACGAGTGAGGGGGGAGCTTTACATGTCTTCCCTCCCTCCCTCCCTCAATCTCACCTCCCCTCACTCCCTGCAGTGTCCTCAACAGCCCAGTCTGACCTGGCGTCAGTCCAGGCAGGAGTGAGGGAAGCCTCCCTCGACTGCCTCGCCCCAGGCTTTACTCCTGGCGTAGAGGTGAGGGGGTAGAGGTGAGGGGGTAGAGGTGAGGGGGGGTAGAGGTGAGGGGGTGGAGGTGAGGGGGGTAGAGGTGAGGGGGTGGAGGTGAGGGGGTGGAGGTGAGGGGTTGGAGGTGGGGGGGTAGACGGACGCAGCAGTGAGGGAGTAGAGATGAGAGGGTGAGAGGGGAGCAAAGGTGACGGGGGTTACGGCATGTGTGTCAAGCTTCGTGGATGCGCTTTTGAGTCGACTCAAAGTAGCTTCGTGGATGCGCTTTTGAGTCGACTCAAAAGTAGCTTCGTGGATGCGCTTTTGAGCTTCGTGGATGCGCGAGGGCATGGGGTGCAGGAAGCGATCTCACGACCAACTCTGACGCACAGTGCTACTTTTGAGGCGCCTCAGAAGTAGGCTCCTCACGCATGGGGTGCAAAAAGCGAGTTCACGACCAACTCTGATGCGCAGTGCCTCAGACATTGTCTGTGCATGTGCAGTGTCTGGCATCCAGACATTGGTGCAGATGGGCATTGGTGCCAGGAACGCCTAAAAAAGGGACTCTGCCAGGAGAGCCTCTGTTACGAGGAGTCCATTTTCTAGGCGTTTAAAAAATAGACTCGACACGCATGGAAGCGATTTCACGACCAACTCACATGCGCAGTGCTACACCGATGTCATCCTAGGATAGCCTCTGCTCTTTGCTGGATACAGCTTCCCCCCCTCACCTTTCGCTGTTCCTTCTCTGCTCCCCCCTCCCCTCCCCCGTCCTCCCTCCAGCTGTGCACGTTCAAGCTCATCTTGAAGAGCGCCGCCTCTCTGCTAACTCGCTCCTTTTTTGCCGCCTCAGATTTTCTCTGCTTCTATCCTCCCCTCCGCCCCTCTCCCCCCCCTCCGCCCTCCAGCTGTGCACGGTCAAGCTCATCTTGAAGAATGCCGCCTCCCTGCTAGCTCATTCTGTTTAAGCGTCTCAAGTTTTCTCCACTTTCAACCTCCCCTCCCCCCCTCTCCCTGCTCTCCCCTCTCCGTCCTCCAGCTGTGCACGTTCAAGCTCATCTTGAAGAACGCTGCATCCCTGCTGGATAAGAACGACCCTGCATTCGTGCTAGGGGAGGAGGTTCTGCTGGATCTCATCTGGTGGGCTGGGTGGGGTGTCGGGGGTGTGGAGGGGTAGGGAGATTAATGTAAGGGTGCGCATCCAAGCTCGATAAGAACGCCGCCTCTCTGCTGGATAAGAACGACCCTGCATTCGTGCTAGCGGAGGAGGTTCTGCTGGATCTCATCTGGTGGGAGAGAGGGGGGGAAACGGGGGGCGGGGGAGGGAGGGGAGGGAGGGAAGGAATGGGAGGGAGGGGAGGGAAGGAGATTTCACTAGATGAGAGTTGGACAGTATGATCTTGTTCTTTTTTTACCTCACTTGCAGAATGCTCTGGATACTGAAATTCCTATACCCCCAAGCCTCCCTTGGTCGTTGCCCCAATCTCAATCCCTTCAACTCCACCAGTCGTTCAAAGAGCTCCACCAGTTGCGAGAAGGGGACCATGGCTGGTTGTTAGTAGGGCTGATCGTTAACATATCAACTCCCCCTCCCCCTTGGTCACTACCCCAGCCCGCATCCCTCCCCTCATCCCTCCAACCCCACCAGGTCGTTCAGTGCGCTCCACCAGGTGCGGGAAGGGCCCCATGGCTGATTGTCAACTTATCAACTCCCACCCTTTTGGTCACTACCCCCACCCTCATCCCTCCAACCCGACCAGGGCGTTCAGAGAGCTGCACCAGTTGCTGGAAGAGGCTCAGGGCTCCGACCCCCCTCCCCGGTGAGTCACGCCTCGCCTGGCAGAAGAGTAAAGGCCAATCACCTTCCGCACTCACCTTTTTTGAGGTGCCTCAAAAAGAGGCTCAGGGCTCCGACCCCCCTCCCGGGTGAGTCATGTCTCACCTGGCTGTAGAATAGAGGCCTATCATATTCCGCACTCACCCCTTTTGAGGCGCCTCAAAAAAAAGCTCAGGGCTCCGATCCTCATGCCTCGCCTGGCAGAAGAGTTGAGGCCAATCATCTTCCGCACTCACCTTTCGCGCTCGCCTTTTGTCCTTTCTGCACCGAGCTTACCGCATTCTCCTTCTACTGCCCCAAATGTCTGCGCCCTTGTTGCAGGGAGTACATCCTGGATTCCTTCAGCAATGTGGAAACTGGTTTGGATTCCTTTGAGACAACCATCCAAGCCATCTTTGACACCCCTGTTTGATTTGAGCTCTTGGTCTTGGCCCGTCCAGCTTGCTGGACTGCAATTTTGGCATGGCATGCGGAGGCTCCTGTCAGCCTCTGTTTTGGCTCAGCTGTCGCTTTTTCTTACACGTTTCAGCCCAAGTTGTGCCTTCCTGCGCCTGCCTAGGTGATTGGTATTCACTGTGACTGCAAGGTGGAGAACCTCCTTGGATCAGTTGTGGCTAGTGTTATCATGCCGTTGTTGAATCACATTGCACTAATGTTTATGGTATGTACTGATCCCTGCAGCAGCAAAACCCTGCCAAAAATATATGAAGTCAGTAAACAACCCACACCTCAATCTCAGGTCAATAAGTCAACTGTACAGCATCTTATTCTCAGGGGCGCGTTCCCAGGCTGAGGATGAACTGGAACTTCCTAGACCCGCCAGACTCCACGTCCTTGTCAATCTTGAACGGCCGCAGCACCTTCACTTGCTGCAGGCCCACTGCCTCCATGTCCCTTGCCAGGTCATCCACGACCAGCCCATGCCTCTGCACCTCCCCATGGATGTTGGAGGGGTGGAATTCTGGCGCATGGAGCTCTGCTTCAAAGTCTGAGATGGCGACGACACCGGAGTGCTCCTTGAGGCAGCTCATTACGGCTAGAAGAGTCTCTTTGATGCCTGAGGGAGACAAGGGCCAAGCAGGCCAAGTCAGCACGAGGAGTGGGTTGGTATCTGAGTGGGTGGAAATGGCCATTAAGCACAGCCAATGCGGAGTGTGTTTACTGCAAGAATTGAGGCAGATGTCAAGGATGGGTCAAGGGGAAACATCATTGAAAGGGAATGAGAATCTTACTCGGAACATGGTGGAACGTGAGGTGGGAGAAGGCGACATCGAAACCTGCTGCTGGTAGCAGGTCTCCAAGCTGCTGCTGAGGGGTCTTGTCCGAAGTAAGCAGGATCTGAACGGACTTCATTTTGTCAACCAGACCTAGCTTCTCCGCCTTGGCGTTGAACGCATTCACCATGCCTGGCCAATGGAAGCGGAATCAGAAGAAGCATGCCAGCTTGGGATCATGCCATTTTGGAATCATGCTTGGAGTTCTCAATGAGCAGGTTCTTCACCCTTCATGTGAACTCTGAGCTGAGATAGACAGCAACGCGGATATCGAATACTCTGAAGCGGAGATATCAGCAATGCGAAAAGTTTCCTTCAGTGGTCGCATTCACACGAGTGATTCAGTGAAGCATCTACAATGCCAGCTTCTTCAAACCCTGTTCAATGTACACCGGGAATGAGTCATAAAGAGCTTTCTTTTCCCAATAACCTTCGACGAAATCTTACCGATGGAGGTGTCTACACCAACAACCTTGATGCCTTTAGCTGCGAGCATCTCGGAGCAAAGTCCGGTTCCGCTACCAACTTCCAGAAGAGTCGTGCCTTCCGTTATAGGAACATTGGCTAACAGATGCTCCACCGCCTTAGAGGCCATTTCACGATGCAACGGTTTGTCGTCCCAGTGGCCGGCCTGGTCGTCAAAGAATGTACTTCCATGGTCGGCCATGGAATCCCCTGTCCTTAAGGGTCTTGCTGTGTTCCGTTGGTTTGCCTAAACCTCAGTGCGAGAACTTTTGTAGTTGCAGTGCACGCTGCAAGGCCTAGACGGAGCCCTTGCGGCAAATACGGCAGAGGAAGAGTTTGCGAGCTAGTCTACTTAGACGTCCAGCAGCTCTGCCGAGCTAGCAAAACGAAAGGATTTGTTGAAGGTTCCACAGGAATTTCTGCAATCAACCATGCCAGACAGGAAGCCGTGATAACAGCGATTCCTGTCAGACGCTCTTGTATCGAGCTTGAATATGGGGGGCTTGGTTTGTTTCCTGTTGTTGCGTCATATATAGTGTGACTTGATTTGCGTGATATAAAGTGTAATGGATACGTTATGTCTGTGCTTGATTTTACCTACGAAATTATTGAAGCGGCTAATGCGAGCCATCCTGAAATTATGGAGATCCCAGAGTATGACATGGACCTTGGAAGCATCCCTCCCGTACATCCTGCTTCCCTGTTGGGACTTGGAAATGAGAGGAGCTCCTTTCTTCCTGGAAGGCCGAAGCAACTGGTGGCCCTGAGGAAGGCTGTTCACGGCTCGCACCTGGCTCTATTTTGAATATTTATTTGCCGTGTCTGATTCCGATTGGCAGAACCATATGAGTCCAGCATGGCCTTTCGTAGCTTTCGAGCAAGAGATGCCCTGTCAGCAGATCCACCTCTTTCCCCTAGATTCTTTGTTCCCCATCTCCCCCAATTCATCGTAGGCCCAAGCCAGGTCATTTCAGGGCTGACTGGCGTGAGTAAGGGCACCTGTACAAATTGCATAGCATTTTGGGACCAGCAGTCACCTCCCATCTTCTCGGAGGGAGAAGATTTGTGCGAGAGGAACAAGGGAAATTATTCGCTGGGTAACTCTTACTCTTCAATTTTCTATTTAGTCACTCTTTTATCGAATCGAAATCAGAAGCGTCAAACGTTTTGTTCAGTTTGATGCCGCATGGCAAAATATTTCGACACGTGTCTCAGAAATGCCATGGTCTCAATACATCGAGAGGTAAATCCTGAACGTCCAAATTTTGAAGAGAAAACTGCATATCTGGTAAAGGTTTCTGTCCCCGTAAACATTCGCGCACAGCTCCGCGACGCGTTATTGAGATACAGACATGTCGATCAGGGCAGCCTGAAACAAAATAAAACCCGCAGCAGCCCGTATATATACGGACATGTGAATTAAGGCAGCCTGAAACAAATTAAAACCCGCAGCGGCCCGATATTCGACTTGGGGTGGCATCAACCCTAAAGACGAACAAAGCCGCGAGTTTAGAATTGATGCTACCGCGAGTCACATGCGGGCTGCCGCGGGTTTGAGTTTTGTGGGCATCCCGAAAAACAAAATGTCAGAAAGTGACATAAGTCTAGTTTACACCTTGAAGAATGGCTTGTTAGATTTCAGCAACGAAAATAATGTTTTTCCATTCGGGGATTTTTGTAACAGCCAGTAAATTCGTACACGTTCAGTTGCGCAATTTGTGTGCGCTTCGTCTGCTCGCTGTTTCTAGCCACAAAAAGACAACACTTGGCTAAGTCAATTTGCACGAATATAATCTACTGCGAAATTTGAATGTGAGTGAAATCGAATGTTTAATTCAGATAGATTTTCTATTGGTTTATCACTACAAGTAGTCTCCCTATTCTCTGGGATTTCGCCATTTTCGGACACGTGTCGAAAGAGTTTGCTATGCGGCATCAAACTGAACAAAACTTTTGACGCTGCTGATTTCGACTCGATAAAACCCTGACTGGGATGAGAAAATAGTTACTAAATCGGGGAAACGAAAAGTAAGAGTTACCCAGCGTATAATTTCCCGAGAAACAATCAACAACAGTCAACTTCCTTAATCTGTGGTTCAGGAGGAGGAAGCGCTTGACAACTCAGTTCAAGCCGCCACGTCCGTCGATCTTCTGAATTCGGCATAATCTGGCCGTCGATTCGTTTCTTGCAAAGGAGTCTCCTTTGATGTGTGCGAGACGGACAGATCTACAAGACATGGAATTAGACAGGCATCTCCTATATTCAGGGAATTCCAAGTTCAAACATCGTATACTTCATTGACTTCCTGGTTTCCCGTTAGCTTTCTCCATCTCGGAGACATCACTCCAGGAACTCCTTATTTCTCCTTGACGTCCTCCATTGAAGTCATTTGAGAACACCAGAACCTTCTCACTGCACTGTTGCTCGTGCAGTCTTCTCTAGTCCACTCTTGAATTCTCTCACAATGGCAACCACCATGAATGCGACGATCAGCCGTGGAGTAACCAGCCAGCTCAGCCATGGCATCGCCAGCTCCCAGAAGAAGGCCGACTCCTCCAAGCTCATGGTGGCCGGCTTCGAGGGTCTCCGATCCGGCCGGGCAATGCCAGGCAATGTCTCGTCTCAGACCCCTTCCCTGGCTTCAACCGTCGCTAGGGCGGTGTCGGCCGGCAAGGAGCAGTCTGGATCCGCCAAGGGAGTCGTCAAGTGCGAGGTGGAGCCTGGAATGAAGCTCGTCTTCGTGTCCGCTGAGGTCGCTCCCTGGAGCAAGACTGGCGGTCTTGGCGACGTGCTGGGAGGCCTGCCTCCTGCTCTTGCGGTGCGCGAATCTTCCACGCGAATTCGCTCCTTTCAGTGTCCGGATCTTCAAATCTTGCTGAATGTCATCGGATTTCGTGCTCTGTCGCGAGGTAATTCCCAGCCTTGCTTAACTACCTCGGTCCATCACCTACCTAACTGATTTCATTATCGATCGGTGCTTTTGGTCCTTGTGTGTCCTGGCAGGCCCGCGGTCACCGTGTGATGACCGTTTCCCCGCGCTACGATCAGTACAAGGATGCCTGGGACACTGACGTCACCCTCGACGTAAGCCCGAATCTCCACCCGCTTAATGTCCTCCTGCTCACCAAGAAGCTCTTCATGTTCCGCCTTGGACCACCTCTATGGCACCCATTTCCCTGTTACTTATCTCCACTTACCTCCACTGACCTCTACTGACCCGCCTCTCTTGTCGCCGTTTCTCTCCTTCCATCCTGCAGGTGAAGGTGGGCAACCGCGTGGAGACCGTCCGGTTCTTCCACTGCTACAAGCGCGGTATGGACCGCGTGTTCATCGACCACCCGCTCTTCCTCGCTAAGGTGTACGGCAAGACCGGCAGCAAGGTGTACGGGCCCGTGGCCGGCACGGATTACCAGGATAACCAGCTCCGCTTCAGCCTCTTCTGCCAGGCGGCGATCGAGGCGCCCAGGATTCTGAACTTGAACAATAGCGAGTATTACTCCGGGCCTTATGGCGAGGATGTGGTCTTCGTGGCGAACGACTGGCACAGCGCGCTGATCCCGTGCTACCTGAGGGCGTTCTACAAGCCGTACAACCAGTTCGCCAGCGCCAAGGTACGGCCTTTTCACCTTCCGCGCCAGGGATCGCTTCGTCATGCTGCTTTTTCATGCGGCTCCTGGGGCTCGTTAGAGTGACTTTAGAGTGACAATAATGAATTGGGCTTCTCCCGTTCATGTGTCGGTCCTCTGCCTCTGCCAGGTTCTTTCCTCGCTGCATTCTTGCCCCCCCCACTTATCTTTCCACCCCTCCTACCATCCCCCAATCCCCCCATCCGCACCACCAGGTGGCGTTCTGCACGCACAACATCGCGTACCAGGGCCGCTTCCCCATCGACGACTTCAACCTGCTCAACCTGCCCGAGGGCTTCCGCGACTCGTTCGCCTTCTACGACGAGTCCGACAAGCCCGTCAAGGGTCCCAAGATCAACTGGCTCAAGGCCGGCTTCCAGGAGGCCGATCTCGTGCTCACAGTCAGCCCGAACTATGCCGCTGAGTTGAAGTCTGGCCCGGCTAAGGGCGTGGAGCTGGACGATGTGATCCGGGAAGTTGGGTGCCGCGGGATTGTGAACGGGATGGATACGACAGAGTGGGACTCGAGCGAGGACAAGTACCTCGACACGCCCTATGATATCTCCAATGTGAGTGTTTCGGAGGGGAGGTGGTGGGTAATGGGGCTGGTCTTGGATGTTTTTGTAAGACTGAAACTGAAGGGAATCTCACACAATTTGCGGGTGTAAGCAAGTTCCTCGGCTCTAATTAATTACTGGATGTCATATTGGCGGCTGACCACCCTAGTATAGCCCCTTCCGCATTGGCTCAACCGAACCACCGCGTTATTTTTCTCTGTATCCACCGCATTTCTCTCCAAATGTGCCACTCTCGTCCCTCATGTCCGTCTTCCTATACCTGCCATCCCCCATCGTCTCCCCCCATCAGGTCCTGGAGGTGAAGCCTCTTCTCAAGGAGTCCCTGCAGGCCGAAGTGGGTCTGCCCGTGCGCCCCGAAGTGCCCCTGTTCGCCTTCATCGGCCGCCTGGAGGAGCAGAAGGGCTCCGACATCCTGTCCGCCGCCCTGCCCGAGATTCTCAAGGAGGACGTGCAGGTGATCGTGCTGGGCACTGGCAAGAAGTACCTGGAGAAGCAGCTGGAGCAGCTCGAGGTCAAGTACCCGGAGAAGGCCCGTGGAGTGGTCAAGTTCAACGTGCCGCTCGCGCATCTCATGACCGCCGGGGCAGACTTCATGCTCGTGCCGTCGCGGTTCGAGCCGTGCGGGCTGATCCAGCTGCACGCCATGCGATATGGCACAGTGAGTGCGAGAGTCCCTCAGCTGCTAAGATGTCCACTAAGGAAAGGAAATCAGTGACTTCACACTTTTGGACCGGCCAAAGCGAAATAACCTTGCTGGGTATGGCTGTCTGCATGAATGCTACGAGCCTTGCCTCGCATTTTACTACACCTCTTTTATGCCCTTCCACTTGGTATTAGATCTCATCGCAGCCCTTGTCCCTCCTTGTCTTTCGTCTGCTGCTGTCTCCCCACCAGGTGCCTGTGGTTGCCTCTACTGGCGGTCTCGTTGACACCGTGAAGGACGGCGTCACTGGATTCCAAATCGGCGAGTTCAACGTCGACGTGAGTAACGAGGCTTGATCATGCATCTTGCACCAAAGTATGGGCAACGAAAGTCAACCACGGGTCGGAATCACCTTCCACCTCCCCTCGATTTCCACCGCCACCCAGCCCACCCCAGCTTCTGGCCTCTTGCCATTGTCTTGTCCCTCGTGGTTGATCCACTCTACCCTCTTGTCCCATCTTTTAGTTCCGTCCGTCCCTCCCTCCCTCCGCCTGTCCGTCCCA